CTGAAATTTATTTGTGACCCCAGAATCAGTACCCATGGTACTTTCAGGTTAATGACTGACATTCATGGAGTGTCGAAAAATTCCTTACCTGACACACATTTCCAGCTGAGGTCAGACAAGGCGATGCCGCATCTTCGTATGTCAGTCCTCACACTGCAAAGTAGTGTCCTTTTTGTGTCAAATTAGTGCCATGGCTTTTGCATTTTTTGTGCTTTTTGTCAGTGATTTAAAATGGCCCTGGGCTGAAGTGCTGTCTAATCCGAGGCACGAGATGGCTGTGATGTACTTTTTGGAGAAAATACACGTGTTAGAGAAGCTTCGTTCAACATTGATTGTTGCTGGCCGTGAGTTCAATGTTAGTGAATGAACTATATATTAAATATGGTGTCTTTTTTTTTTTTTTTTTTTTTTAAACGGAGTCTCACTCTGTCTCCCGGGCTAGAGTGCAGTGGCGTGATTTTACCTCACTGCAACTTCCGCCTCCCGAGTTCAAGCGATTCTCCTGCCTTAGCCTCCCAAATAGCCAGGATTACGGCACCCGCCACCATGCCTGGCTAATTTTTGTATTTTTAGTAGAGATGGGGTTTTGTGATTTTGGCCAGGCTGGTCTTGAACTCCTGACCTCAAGTAATCTGCCCGCCTTAGCCTTCCAAAGTGCTGGGATTACAGGCATGAGCCACCGCATCTGGCCTCAAATAAGGTGTCTTGAAAGAGAAACATACATAAAGCAAGGTTATGAATTGATCAGTTGCTGAAAATGTGATCAGAGGACCCTAACCTTGTATTTCCCCTAGGAGCCAGTGGGCTGGTATTGACTAATTCAGTGTTCACCGCTGCCTCAGATGAGAATGGACAGTAATCTGGCTCCATAGGACCCGGGGAGGGAAGGCAGGCCCGCGGGCACAGAGCTGTCCGAGGTGCTACCACAGTGAGCCTGGCTCAGCTTTCGGGGGCCACATCTGCTTCCATAAGTCTCCACTGTGCTTGAGGGTGGGGAAGACCTGCAGCCCTGACTGGCAAGACAGTAGGGAGAAGGGACAGACCGAAGTCTGGAGATGAGGAGGCTCTGTGCTGGACTAGCAGCTCCCAGGGCTTGTGACCCAGGGGATTTCTTGCTCGGCAGGCCCTGGGAAAGGGTGAAGGGAGAAGGGGTTTGCTTGTGGGAGGAAGAGTCAGCAGTGACTTCATAGGCCAGCTGTACCTTGTGTGCTTATTCACAGCCATTTACTGCACTGCGAGGCCAAAGGACACTGGAAGGTTTGGGATCCACTGACGTCATCCAGGCAGGTCACACTGCTATGCTTGGTGTCAGTGTTTCTGACAGGCAGGGCAGCAGAGCAGAGGGTCTCCAGCAGCCCATGTTGCAGTAGCGGGAGCTGAGCAGCCAGCAGAGCGCTTTCACTTCCAGCCAAGTCCTCACCTTGGATTCTGGGCGGGTGGCAGGTCAGAGGCCCATCTGACAGGTGGAATCACTGAGGGTCACAGAGGTTGGTTGAATGAACTGGCCACCTGGGTAGGGAGGGGTAGCGTCAGGACCTGAGCTCACGTGTGTGTGACTGCAGCTCCTAACATTGTACTGTGCCTCTGGGAATCAGAGAGACCCCTCCAGTCCCGACCTTTCCTGGCTCTTGGATGTGGAGTGTGTCTGTGTTTGCCTCCCTTCCTCTCTCTGAAAAGAGGGAATCTCTTCTCTCTCCACTCTCCCCGCTCCCTTTCTTAATGAGTCCTATGATATTAAAAGTTGTACATTCATGGGAAAAAGTAATATAATCTTATGACTGAAAATATTAAGTCAAAACCAAAAAAAGAAAAAGGAAAACATCACTCTGTTCAATTCATCCACTCCTACCGTTCTGGTCTGTTTACCTCTAACGTTTCCATGTGATTTATGGAGTTGTCATCAGTGTGTCTACAACTGGGGGTTCTGCTTTTCCGCTAAACATCGTATTACACATATTCCCGTGCATCTGCATGTCATCTTTTTAGCCATCCTTTAAAAAGATAAGTGACGATTTGGTTGAATACATACGGCTTGCTTTACCTCGGGGCAATGTCAGAAACTGCAGGATGTTGTGTCCTTTCCTTTCGTCGTCTTCATCGTGGTTACTGCTGTTATTTTCTCTCATGAGTAACACATGAAACGCTTTTGTGCAAAAGGCCTTTAATTGTGCACTCCGCCATAAGGTAGATGCATAGGAATGAGAAAGTGCTCATTAGCTTCTCACGTTTTGTTCTCTAGCATATCGGAGAGTTCCAGTTCAGTGCACCCTTGCCAGCATCAGCTACAACTTAACAATTTGATTGGCGTATAATTTATGTAAAATAAACTGCATATATGTAGACCGAACAGTTTGATAAGTTTTTACGTTTTTTAAATTAATTAAATTTTTGAGACAGGGTCTCGCTCTGTCACCCAGGCTGGAGTGCAGTGGCGCCATCTCGACTCACTGCAGCCTCCGCCTCCCGGGTTCAAGTGATTCTCGTGCCTCAGCCTCCTGAGTATCTGGGACTACAAGTGAGCACCACCACACCCGCCTAAGTTTTGTATTTTTAGTAGAGATGGGGGTTCACCATGTTGCTCAGGCTGGTCTTGAACTCCTGACCTCAAGTGATCCGCCCACCACGGCCTCCCAAAGTGCTGGGATTACAGGTGTGAGCCACCGTGCCTGGCCTAAATTTTATGTTTTAATACGCTTTTAGAGACAGAGTCTTATTCTGTCCCCCAGGCAGAAGTGCAGTGGTTCGATCATAGCTCACTGCAGCCTCGAACTCCTGGGCTCAGGGGATCCTCCCACCTCAGCCTCTGTAGTAGCTGGGACCACAGCCACATGCCATCATGCCCAGCTAATTTTTATTTTTTTGTAGAGACAGGGTCTCACTACGTTGCCCAGTCTGACCTTGAACTCCTGGCCTAAAGCAATCCTTCCGCCTTGGCCTCTCAAAGTGCTGGAATTACAGGTGTGAGCTACCTCACCCGGCCAAGTGTGATGAGTTTTGATGGCCATACACACCTGTGAAACCAATGCCGCAATCAAGACGCAGAACCTTTCAGGGTGGCCACCCATCTGCTTTAAGTCACTCCAGTTCTGCCTTTTCCGAAACATCACGTGAATGGGATCATACAGTAAATAGCTTTTTGCGCCTGATTTCTTTTGCTCTGCAGGACAAGTTTGAGGTTTATCTGCGGTGTGGTGTGGATCACTAGTTTGTTTTTATTGTGACACGTGTGTATTCGCCTGGTCTCCAGTTTGGGGCCGTTATGAACAAAGATGCCGTGAACATTTGTGTGCCAGTCTTGGTGGACATGTGCTTCATTTCTGTTGGGCAGGTGCCTAGGTGTGGCTAGTGACTGGTTTTGTAAGTATATGTTTAACTGTGAGAATCTGGCAGTTTTCCTAAGGGCTGCTGTTTTTGGTTTGATTTTTTTGTTGTTGTTGTTGTTTGTTTGTTTGAGACAGAGTCTCGCTTTGTTGACTAGGCTGGAGGTGCAGTGATGCAGACTCGGTTCACTGCAACCTCTGCCTCCCAGGTTCAAGCAATTCTCCTGCCTCAGCCTTTAGAGTAGCTGGGACTATAGGCGTCCATCACCACACCTGGCTTATTTATTGGTTTGTTTGTTTATTTTTTCTGAGATGGAGTCTTGCTCTGTCACCCAAGCTGGAGTGCAATGGCGTGATCTTGGTTCACTGCAACCTCTTGCCTCCGGGTTCAAGTGATCCTCCAGCCTCAGCCTCTTGAGTAGCTGGGATTACAGGCACCCGCCACCATGCCCAGCTGATTTTTGTATTTTTAGTAAAGACGGGGTTTCACCATGTTGGCCAGGCTGGTCTTGAACTCCTGACCTCAGGTGATCCGCGCCCCACTGCACCCCCCAAGCCTCCCAAAGTACTGGGATGACAGGCGTGAGCCTTAAAGACCAAATTTATTCTCTTATTCTGTTGGGCTCTAAGAGGGAACCAAAAGTGAAACAATATTAGGAGGTAACAAAGAATTGAATTTTATCCAGGAATAATCATAGCGCTTTGCTTAATTTTGCAAGGGTCTGTAGTAGGGTGACTTGGGCATTGCCTGTTGCAAAAACGCGGCAGGAATTTCAAAGCGACTCTGCAGACAGCATGCATGTGTGGTTCCCCAGGTCCTGTGAGCCTGGGAGGTCTTGCCAGTCCTGTGGGCTCTCCTGACCCTCACCCCTGGAGGCTGACAAGGCTTGGCTGACCCAGACCCTCACCAATGAAGCCTCCTTCTCTTTTCCTCCTTCTCACTGCCCTAGAGCCCAGGAGCCAGGCAGGGCATGGGAGTGGGTGGCTAACACACGGTTGGGCTGAGGGCTGGGGGCCGGGGCTGGCTTCGAGTCCTGGTTCTTTGGTTAGTGGTGTGGCTGACGTCAGCCAAGCCTGGGTGTTCTGCATTTGACTCGGCTCATGGCCGAGTCCTGGTTGGCCCACTGGTCTGTCTGTGAGGGCGAGAGAGGGTCCCAGTACCACTGGCCCTCAGGTTCCCCATCTCCAAGTGTCAGGATTTGTTCCTTCCAGCTGGTACTAGTGCGGTCTAGTACCAGCACTAGATCGCACCGCTCAGTGAGGAAGACACACAACAAAAGCAGCCCTAGTTTAATCTACTAGGTTGATAAGAGGGAGCTTGGCAGCATATTTTGAAGTGTTGAATCCATCTAGAGAGGGGACAAACCCACCTATGTGGATCCTACTGTGTGCCCGTGGTCTTGGTTTGTCTGCAAGTGCCCCGAGGCACCTGTGGCTCAGAGCCCCCGCCCGTTGTCCCATCACCAGCAGCTGCGCTGGAACGGAAACCCAGATCTTCCCTACCAAAGCTGGTGGGCTTTTTCTCTTTTGCAAGAAAATATTACAAATATATATCATAAAGAAATACCATTTGTAATACAAGGAGACGTCCCCGTGAGGATCAGATGAGCACGAAGCTGGCGAGCGTTCAGGGCCAGCAGTGCAGACGCGGGGCAGGGGTGGGGCAGGTGCCGTCTCCCCGCAGTTCAGCCTGCAGCCTCGGAGGCGGCTGTCCCTTTAAGTCGGGTTCCCGTTGGGATTGCCGCAGCCATCGCAGCCATCGGGGAGTGGGTGGGGGTGAGAGATGTTGGTGAGAGCCCTGCCTCTCCAAAGGCCCCCCCCAGCCAAGCCTTCCCGGCTTCCAGCCTAGACAGCAGCCAGCCAGTGGCGTTCCTGGCTCCTCGGGATTTTCCTTTTCCACCGAAGCTGCTGATTCATCCCCAGGCTGGAGTCGGGCTCTCAGGCTGCTGCTGGGCGGAGGAACTGGGCCTCCCAGGGGGTGTCCTCCAGCGTCTCTGGATGCTCCATGGGTGGGGGTCGGGAGTGGTGAGGGAGGGGCAGCGCATCTCAGAGCCCTGGCAAATTTCTGGCCAGAAATGTGGGGGTATGGGCACACCTTGGCCAAGGCCATGCTGCAAGGGCCAGGGTGGCCATCCTTCCTCACTCCTGTCCGGCCTCCCTCTGCAGGGTGCTTCAAGGATGACCGCATTGTCTTCTGGACTTGGATGTTCTCCACCTACTTCATGGAGAAATGGGCTCCCCGGCAGGACGACATGCTTTTCTATGTGCGCCGGAAGCTGGCGTACTCTGGCAGCGAAAGCAGTGCAGACGGGAGGAAGGTGAGTGGCCCCTGGCCCCTGCCCCCGCATCTGTGCCCCAAGCATCCCTGTGGTGTCTGCTCTCAGCATGCATGTGGGCTTCATCAGTGCTCACGCATATCAAAGAGGGTGAGTGATACTTATTGAGCACCTACTGTGTTCCAGGGACTGTGTGGACAGTCTCATGTGCAAATCTGGATGTGCTGGGTGTCTGTGCACATTCTCATTCATCTTCACTGTGACCCTGAAAGGCAGTGATTGCTGTCACCACCGTAGCTTTGAGGAAACAGGTTCAGACACAGCTGACTCAGCTGGCCTCTTATAATTAGTTAGTAGGTGGTAGAGCAAAGGTCAGACTCCAGAGCCCAGAGCCCTCCCTCGGCCATGGCAGGGTGACGTGGCTCAGTGGTGGTGATGATGACGGTGCCTTCCACTTATTGAGCCTTTGCCATCATCTGGACACAGTGCTGAGCTCTCTTCTTCTCAGCCTCATTGTGAAGTCCCAACAGCTCGACAGGGTGGGTGTTCTTATCCCTGTCACAGATGAGGAAACGGAGGGCTCGGAGACGAAGTGATTCGCCTAACATATTTCATCCACTAAATCTAAGTGTGGGAGGAGCTAATGAAATACATTTTGCATGCTTCCTTCTCTGTTTCCACAGGCTGTTGCGGTTTGTAAAATGTTTAAACAACCCCATATGCCAGACATGGACATGCTTTTGTTTTCCTTTAAAAACAAGGAATGAGAGGGCCGTGGAGCCAGGTCTGGAACCTGCAGCCTGCCTGGCTCTGTGACTCTGGGGCCATGTTTGCGGGCAGAGGCTAATGCAGGGATTACTTGGAGCCTGGCCTTGCCTTGGGCCCATTTTCTGAGCCTGAACACATGCGGGATGGATTTTCTGCAAGTGGGCAGGCCTGGGTGCCTGCATGCTGGCCCTGAGCCCTGAGCTAGCCCCACATTGGAGGGACCAGCAAGAGACTATGAGCAACTGGCCAGAGAGGTGGGGGAAGAGCCAGGAGAGGGGAGGGCAGCCCAAGAGGGGAGGTCTGGAGAAGTGGGGGCAGCCCAGGAGGGGAGGTCTGGAGAAGTGGGGGCAGCCTAGGAGGGGAAGTCTGGAGAAGTGAGGGCAGCCCAGGAGGGGAGGTCTGGAGAAGTGGGGGCAGCCAGTGGGGTGCAGTGTCTGAAGGGCCCATTGGATTTGGTACCAGGGAGGGGTGGCGGCCTTAGCACAGCAGTTTCAGTGGCAGGTGGGCAGGGACTGGAGCCACTCAGTCAGGCAGGGGATGCTTTCTGGGAGGGATGAAGAGACCTGACTGGTGATGGGATCCCTGAGTAAGAACCTTCTGGAGCTGACTCAAGGCCCCTCAGAACCTGCTGCCACACCCACCCTGTCTGGGTGTGCAGTTGAGAGACCAGCTTTCAAGGTCAGTCTTGCTTCCCCTGGTTTACCATATGACGTTGCCAGGTCATCTCCTCTCTGGGGTAAAGGGGGATCAGGGCAGGTGCCCTGAAAGGTGAGGGCCCTCCCATTGTGGATACCTGGGAGGCTGGGATGTTTGGGGTTGGCGTGACCACATGAGTGCCCTTGGCAAGGGAGGTGGCTGGTGCCTTGGGATCCTCACTGCCCGTGACCCTCATGGCAGGCACAGGCTCCTCTAATCTCAGCACAGCTCTGGGGGGAGGCACTCCTCTCACCCATGGGAGCTGGAACTCGGAGGCTCAGGCCCTCTGTCGTCCCAGGGCTGTGGACCCTGCCCCTGTCTCCGTCCACTCCGGCCTCTCAGCTTCTGCTGGAGTTCAGGTTGCAGAGAACCTTTCCCCCACCCTCAGATGTTGGTCTTTTCCCCAAGACAGAGTCTGCTGCAAGCAGGGGCTCTAACGAGGACTTGGCGCATTTGAGATACTCAGCTGTAGTTTGAATTTTGGTTCCAGAGAGGTCACGACTCTGGTCAAGAGGGCAGACAGGGAGGTGGGAGGATGGGTCGTGTGCACCCTGGATAGGCCGGGGTAGGGGGAGGAGAAAGGAACATCAGATGAGGGGTCCATCTTGGGTGGAGGAGAAGTTAAAGGTGAGAGCCCTCCACTGAGCACAGCCCTGGATCCAAGCCTGAGGAATTTGGAGCAGAGGGGATGGGGCCACATCCAACCTCTGCTGAAATTTGGGGGTGTCGAGGTCAGGGAAGCCTGAGTCCCACGGGAGCAGGTGGCAGTCCAGCTATTCACATGCTAGAATGTTCCATTGTAACACCCACTGTGAACCATGTGCAGATGCCCCCCCCACACTCAGTGCTGGGAGCACAGAAATGACTCATATCTGGCCTCAGTCTGTTGGGACAGACAGACAGTGTAGCCAGTGGTACGGAGCCATCAGTGCTGTGATGGTGGGAAGAGGAGCGGGGCGCTGGGGAGAGTGCAGAAGGTGACATCTGGTGCGCAGATTGTAGGACAGAGAGAGCGGGCAGCAGTGGCTGACATGCCCCGTGGAGGGACCAGCGAGTGCAGAGCGCGAGGGTGTGTGATGGGTGCCACATGGGACCTGCCAGACTGGGCCGATGGAGATTGTGGGGCCTGGTCGGGGGTGGAGTCCTGGGGCTGCCCCAACTTGGCATTTTTCCCAGCTTGCCGGGCTGCAGTTCTGAGGGTGGCCTGCAGGGGGCGGGCTGGAGGCGCTGATGGGGAGACGGGGAGACCCTCCTGGCAAAAGCCCTGAGCCCTGGGTGGAGGTGGGGGCCCCGCAGAGGCGCCTGCGCACTGCAAGTCCTCTGCGGCAGCCTGGCTGCTTCCCGCCCCCTCCCCATGCCCGTCCCGCTGGTTCCCGGTCGCCATAGCAACCAGCCGGGCCTCCTGCACCTAGCAGGGGAGGGTGGATTGGCAGGAGCTGCAGTATCAGGGGGACAGAATGCCAGGAACCCCGCAGTGCTCCAGGGCACGAGGGATATCCCCAGTCCAGCCTTTCCTAGGGAGGAATGTCCTGGATTTCCTGCCCTCTGTTTGCTCCAGCCCTGAACAAAACGCTCTATGTTCCTGGGCAGCCCATTGTGCCTTTGGCAGGAGGGGGACATAACTGTGTGCTGCTGGCTCTGCGCTGGTGGCCCGAGCCCTGTGTCATGGTCCCAGGACACCTCAGGACCCTAAGATGCAGATCATCTTCACACCCATTCAGAAAACCAAAGCTCAGAGACAGGGAGGAAGCTCCCCGGGGTCACACAGCTTGCCAGCAGCGAAGCCCTGACCCCAGTCTCACCTCTTCCTTTTTGGTAGATTGTTTTCAATATAACATCTATACGGAAAAACAAAGATGTGTACATAGCTTGATTTTTTAGACTGAACACCTGGTTTCACCAGCCCCCAGATACAGAGTGTGACCAGAACACCAAGGCCCCTTCACCCCACCCCAGGGCTCACCCTCCTGTGGAGTCAGTGGGTTCTGTGTTCTCACAGCCCCTGTGTGTGGAGTTGGGCGGGTTCTGTGTTCTCATAGCTCATGTGTGTGGAGTCGGGCGGGTTCTGTGTCTTCTCACAGCTCGTGTGTGGAGTCGGGCGGGTTCTGTGTCTTCTCATAGCTCATGTGTGTGGAGTCGGGCGGGTTCTGTCTGTTCTCACAGCTCATGTGTGTGGAGTCGGGCGGGTTCTGTGTCTTCTCATAGCTCATGTGTGGAGTTGGGCGGGTTCTGCCTGTTCTCATAGCTCATGTTTGTGGCCTCGGTGGGTTCTGCCTGTTCTCACAGCTCGTACATTGGAACTGGGCAGTATATTTTGTTTCAGGCTTCCTTCTTTCTGTGTCATGTTTGTGAGGCATGCCTGTTGACACAGGTGGTTGTCATCTGTCTGGTCTCACTGCAGTGTAATGCCTGTGGAGTGTACCGTGGTGGCCTGGCCACCCTCCTGTCAGTGGGTACCAGGCAGCTCCCAGTGTTCTCTTGGCTTTGGTGTGCACATGGGCACCTTTCTGATGGGGAACCTGCTCTTTTGCCTGCCTGTGCTGTGGGCTGCCCTGAACAGCTGTGCCCACAGTCGTGCCCACGAGCCTTTCATTCACTGAGTCCATAGTGCTTTGCTGAGCAAAATCAAATGAACAGGTCAATGAAGCGAGACCAGGAGGAGCAGCAGAGTCTTGTGAGCCCTGGGACTCTCAGCTCGGGGGCTCGGAGTGACTGCAGAACCACACAGGCGGTGGAAGTGGGAGGCCCCCCGACCCGGGGACATCTCTTTCTCACTCCTAGGCAAGGTTGGCCTCCTGCATCTCTTTCCATAGATCCCAGCTCTGCCCCGGGGGGCGCAGGCCTGTGCACCCGCAAGGGAGCCCAACAATACCCAGCCCCTCAGAGCCCGAGTCTGTGAGAGCGCCCAGGACCAGGACCAGAGGCCCCCAGTCAGCACAGCCGCATCAAAATTGAAAGCCAGGCCGGGCGTGGTGGCTCACGCTTGTAATCCCTGCACTTTGGGAGGCTGAGGCGGGTAGATCACTTGAGGTCAGGAGTTTGAGATCAGCCTGGCCACCATGGTGAAACCCCGTCTCTACTAAAAATACACACAAAAAAATTAGCCAGGTGTGGTGGCAGACGCCTGTAATCTCAGGTACTTGGTAGGCTGAGGCAGGAGAATCACATGAACCCAGGAGGTAGAGGTTGCAGTGAGCTGAGATCGTGCCACTGTACTCCAGCCTGGGTGACAGAGTGAGACTCCATCTCAAAAAAATAAAAGAGGCCGGGTGTGGTGGCTCACACCTGTAATCCCAGCACTTTGGGAGGCCGAGGCGGGCAGATCACAAGGTCAGGAGATCAAGACCATCCTGGCTAACATAGTGAAACCCCATCTCTACTAAAAATACAAAAAAAAAATTAGCCGGGTGTGGTGGCTGGCACCTGTAGTCCCAGCTACTCGGGAGGCTGAGGCAGGGGAATGGCATGAAACCGGGAGGTGGAGCTTGCAGTGAGCGGAGATTGCGCCACTGCACTCCAGCCTGGACCACAGAGCAAGACTCTGTCTCAAAAAAAAAAAAAAAAGTAATTGAGGCCGGGCACAGTGGCTCATGCTTGTAATCCCAGCACTTTGGGAGGCCGAGGTGGGCAGATCACCTGAGGTCAGGAGTTCGAGACCAGCCTGACCAACATGGTGAAACCCCGTCTCTACTAAAAATACAAAAATTAGACAGGTGGGTGGCGCGTGCCTGTAGTCCCAGCTACTCAGGAGGCTGAGGCAGGAGAATCACTTGAATCCAGGAGGTGGTGAGCCAAGATCATGCTGCACTCTAGCCTGGGTGACAGAGTGAGATTCCGTCTCAAAAAAAGAAAAAAAGAAATTGAAAGCCAGTCTCCTAGGAGAGGTGTAGACATGCTGTGCTTTCTCTCTGATTTGTATTTATTATTTGATCTTCAGTAAACTTGACTCTGATCTGTTAAAATTGGGCTAATAAGGGTTGCTGTGAAAGGATTAATAATTTGTGAAATGTGTAGCCCAGATCCCGCCATCCACTAAGAGCTCAATAGGGGTCACTATTATCATTGGTGCCACTTAGCAAATATTAGCTCTTCAAATCATGTGACAACTTTGAGGGGAAGATGCCCTTAGTCCATTGTACAGATGAAGAAACTGAGGCTCAGCAAGGAGAATGGATGGCCCCCGTGTCCCATCTCCCATCACTAGAGAACTGGGGAAAAAGAATTGGAGTTCTGGCTGGGCACGGTGGCTCACACCTGTAATCCCAGCACTTTGGGAGGTCAAGGCAGGAGGCTCACCTGAGCCCTGGGGTTCAAGACCAGCCTGGACAACATGGCGAAATTCCATGTCTACAAAAAAATCTTAAAAATTAGCCGGGTGTGGTAGCATGTGCCTGTGGTCCCCGCTGCTTGGGAGGCTGAGGTGAGAGGATCATTTGAGCCCAAGAGGTTGAGGCTACAGTGAGCTGTGATTGCACCTCCAGCCTGGGCAACAGTGTGAGACCCTGTCACAAAAAATAATGACAAAAAAGAATTGGAGTCCTCGTCCGTCGTAATACCTGTCCAGCATAGTAGTCAGGGTGAAGAAGAGCGCCTGGACCACAGTGGGCCCTGGACGCTCACTTCTGCTCTGGGCCTTGCAGGCGACTGAGCCCGAGGTGGAGGTGGAGGTGTACCGGCGGGACTCCAAGAAGCTGCCAGGCTTGGGAGACCCTGACATCGACTGGGAGGAGAGTGTCTGCCTGAATCTCATCCTGCAGAAGGTATGGGGTGGATGGGTGGGGCTGCGGATTGGCCCCGAGGGGTGGCTGACCCCTCCCTGCACGCTGAACCGCACTCTTTTCCAGCTGGACTACATGGTGACCTGTGCGGTGTGCACACGTGCCGACGGCGGGGACATTCACATCCATAAGAAGAAATCTCAGGTGAGCCCTGGCGCGGGAGTCCCCGCCTCCCAACTGCCAGTTCAGCCGCGGCGTGGCAGACCTCTGGCTGCCTGGCATTTGAGAGAGACAAGTCTTCCCACTTACTTCTCTGCCCCCGAGGTGAGGGGTCTGACTCCAGAAATACGCTGAGCTCCTGGGATCCTGTATCCCATTCGAGGAGCACAGAACCAGCTCATCCCCCACATCTCCCGGGAGGTCTGTGGCTTTGGACCGGCTCTAGGCCGGGTGGCCTCCCTATACTGACTTGGACTGACTCTGGGCCTGTGTGCGGGGCGGGGCCTCACTTGTCCTTCACATCTGCTTTCTTCCAGCAAGTGTTCGCGTCCCCGAGTAAACACCCCATGGACAGCAAAGGGGAAGAGTCCAAGATCAGCTACCCCAACATCTTCTTCATGATTGACAGCTTCGAGGAGGTGAGCTCCACGCAGGGCCCCTCTCCTTAGCTTCCCCTTCTCGGGAGATGGGTGTCAGGTGCTTCTCCCCCCGGCCTTAGCCTTGCAGAAAGGCGTGGGTGGCTTGGAGCCGGGAAGAGTCCAACTGAGGCAGACGTGGCTCGCCCTCTTCCCGGTGTTTGCTTGTGGGCAGGTGAATTCCCCTGGCGCAGCCTCCATTTCCTCCTCTGTAAAATCAGCGTCATGATCATCTGTCCTACTTACTGTCAGGGCTGAAGACCAAGAGGCTCCTGAGTGGGAGGATGCCTCATAAACTCTCGAAAGCAGCGCTGCCCGGGCAGGAGGAGCCATTATTAATGCCAGTAAACTATAAAGAAGCACCTCCACGCCTGCACTGGCTTGGAATCCTAGGATGTCAAAGAGGGATGGGTTTCCGGAGTTATCTGGGCCAAGCCTTTGTTTTAAGGTTTGGGAAACGGGCCTGGGCAGAATGAGACTCACTGAGAAACACAGGGCGCTGGGAGGGTGGGGAGGGAGCTGGTCGCGGCTCACTCCCTGCTCTGCCCACTCGTGTCTCTCCTCTGTTGAGGCCCTGGTTGGGGTCCTTGTGTGCATCCGAGGCCCTTAGGGTCCTGAGGACTGAGAAGGAAGGCATGCGCGTCCGCAGGAAGATCCCAGCCTCAGGGAGGTCGTGTCCCCTCCCCAGGCACACGCAGTTCCTGTGTGGCAGAGCTGAGATTTGCATCTAAGTCTTTGTGTCCTCGGAGCCCAGTCTGTGCGCCAGGCCCTGGGAGTAATGACTCGTTAAGGCGGCGGGATGGGGCCTGTGGTACCTTAGTCTGGTGCTGTCACCCCAGGTGGGCAGTCACCCTGCCACCACCACTGAGCCTTTGGCTACACAGGAGCCTCAAAGATGTAGCAGGCAGGGCTGGGCACCCCAGGCGGTGTGGAGGGGCCCAGACAGTGGCCGACAGTCCTGGTGAACCGTCATGAGGGCGTGCGTCTTCCGCCAGTCCCAGAGTCTCCGTAAGGGTCCCTGTCCTCCCCTGCTGCTCAGCCCCTGCCCCAGTGTGAGGCTGTTCCTGTCCCATGGGCCTTGGAGGGCATGAGGCCACAGGAGTGTGTGACAGAGAGCTAGCTGTCCCCTGCAAAATGGGGTTTTCCGAGCAGCCCTCCCTGCCAGTTGGGCCAGGCTGTGGTGTGGGCGGTGGGAGCCGATGGTCAAGTCCCTGTCTCTTTGTGCCCTGCCCCAGGTGTTCAGCGACATGACTGTGGGAGAAGGAGAGATGGTCTGTGTGGAGCTGGTGGCCAGTGACAAAACCAACACGTTCCAGGGGGTCATCTTTCAGGGCTCCATCCGCTATGAGGCGCTCAAGAAGGTGTATGACAACCGGGTGAGTGTGGGGCGTCCTCACAGGTGCTACCAGGCCTGGGGTCGGTGGCTCCACAGCCCACCTCGGTCCACACCACGAGGCCTCCCAGCCTGCTTCTGAGTGGTAGTGGCCATCAGGGGCACCCACAGACCATTGGGGTTCCTTCTAGGCGCTCCCTGGGCCTCTTCACATCATTCTTCATGGTCAGCCTCAGCCCACACGGGCCGCTTGCATTCATGTGAAATGTGAGCGGGGACTTCCTCCTCAGTCTCTAGTTCCCTGGGAAGTGATGGCTGATAGTGTCACTCGCTTCCTGCGACTGGCCCTGGAAGCGTTCCGAGTCGCCCCCAACTAAGCAAACAGATGTGGGCAGGCTGCTGTCCCCAGCAGGCACCATCTACAGCCAGCCTCACTGCCAGCCTGGCGCCCTGTCCTCAGCCTGGCGCCCTGTCCTCAGCCTGGCGCCCTGTCCTCAGCCTGGTGCCCTGTCCTCAGCTTGGCGTGTGGTTCATGGGGTGGTGGGAGGGGCACCAGGAGGGGCACCAGGCAGGGATGTGGTTCCATTCCAGCTGCCCCGCCTGCCGGCTCAGACCCTCCCTCCCGGGCAGCCCCCACTCCTTGAGGGATGGTCACCTGGCTGTTCATGTCTCGGGGAGGGGCCTCATGGAGCCATCGCCACCTCCCTGACTCAGGCTGCCCCGCCGGCCCCCAGGTGAGTGTGGCCGCCCGCATGGCACAGAAGATGTCGTTTGGCTTCTACAAGTACAACAACATGGAGTTTGTGCGCATGAAGGGCCCCCAGGGCAAGGGCCACGCCGAGATGGCGGTCAGCCGAGTGTCCACAGGTGACACGTCCCCCTGTGGGACTGAAGAGGACTCCAGCCCAGCTTCGCCCATGCACGAGCGGGTAAGGGCTGCATGGCTGGGGGCTGGGGCTCCCGTCCCTCGGGTTCACTTTCCACTGCCTTCCCCCGTGCTCACGGCCCCTCGGGGACAAAGGTGTCATCATCCCCACCCACCAGTGTGCAGGCCGAGGTGCCGAGCGTGCAGAGGCTGGACCACCCAGCCCTTCTCTTTGCTCAGCGGTTTGTAGGAGGCGCTGCTGCGGGGGAAGGCGTTCCTGCCTTGCAGACCTGGAGGGCTGTGCCTGGCCAAGGTCACACCACAGGCTGGTGCTGGGCCAGGGCTCTTTCTGCCTCCCTGAGATGCCGCAAAGCCAGGCTGAGTCCACAGGGCCAGTAGGCAGAAGAGACTGGCTGGGGACTCGCGCCCGGCCCTGGCGCCTGCCTGGGTGGACCTGCTGGGTGAGCGTGGGCACATGGCCAGCCTTCCCTGGTGAGTCAGATGGGAATGATGGTGGCCGAGGGCCAGCCAGAGCATGCAGAGGCCTAGACCACCGAGCTCTGCCCCGAGGTTTGTACGAAGCACTGCTGCAGGAGAGGCATTCCTGCCTCGCACACCTGGAAACCAGACTTGCCAGCTCGCCCCAGGTCACAAGCTGTCTTGGGATAGCACTGGGCTTGGGCCCCTGCTCTGTCTCGAGGCCATCCTCCTTCCCCAGGGCAGGAGGCTGAGGTCAGCAGTGGCTTTGCTCCCAGCAGCCTGTGGTGGGGCACAGACAGGAGAAGGCCTCCAGCCCCACTGGCTGCTTTGCTCTGCCTGGTTCTTGCAGAGGGGCTGCCCAGAGCTGTAGGTCTTGGAAGAGGACAGGTGTGCTGGGCGGGGGGTGCCCGTGGCACAGGTCCGGAGCAGTCCTGCCCAGCCGTTGTCCAGGAGAGATGCCGCCCACAGCTGGGATCCTGCTCTGCTGCTCTCACAACCTTGGGTGTGTCTCTTCCTCTCCAAGCCTCAGTTTTCTCATCTAGAAACAGGGCACGAGGATCCCTGCCCCTTCAGTATTTGGGAGGCTCTGAGAAGTCTGGGGCTTGGCCCTCAGGAGGATTCCCAGGTGGCAGCCGCTATAGTTGCCGTTGACCTACTTGGAAAGCAGACGCATGGGAATGTAAACAATGCTTTACTGCAGACATGCCTGAGATGAGGGAGTGTGTGTTTGTTATACTTTTAATTCGAGAAAGACCTTAACCATACTTATCTCCAGGCGGTCAGATGTTGGTTTTCTTTCTCTTCTGTATACCTTTTTTTTTGTTGGGGTGGGGGGAGTATCTTCTGTAATGAATGTGTTTTACAATCCAAAGACGGCAAGGGCTATGTTTTGCAAAGATGGGTGAGAACTGCGGGAAGGGGCCTCTCTTGTCTTTAGAATAAGGTGGTTTATATTTCTGAGTTCATTTCTGAGATAAAGGGCCTGGTTCTTCTTCCTGGTCCTTAATTTTCCCCTGGGACTCTGACAAAACGTGTGTGTGAAAGTCCTTATGAAGATGTGGCCCGAGCTCTGGGCTGGACAAACCCGGGTGCCGTCTCCAGCCACAGCGTGAGGGCTGAGTGACCATAGGTCACTAGACCTGCCTGAGCCTTGGTTTTCCCATCTGTCCAGTGGGAGTGGTTGTGAGGGGTGTGAAAGTCCCTGGTGCCTTAGCAACTGGGCAGCCGTGGGGTTCAGGGGGAGGGACGTGCTAGGGTCACACAGGGTCAGCAGCAGGGCTGGCCCCTGGGGACTGCCACCTGTGCGCCTGCTATTACCTGTCTCCTTCTCCCTCGGGGTCGTCTGGAGCCAGTGCGTGACACATGCCGACTCTGTGTATTGTGGTTGGTGCTGTTTGTTTCTTTTATCTTTTGAAAACCTTCCCCGGCTTGTGGGAACACCGTCTGGAGCCCAGCAGCTGCCAGGACTTTGGTGGATGTCGGAGCCTTGACGAGGAGGCTGACGGGGCTCCCGAAGTCTCGGTCCCAGCTCATCCTGCTCCTCAGATTCTTGTTGGCATGGGGAGGAGGGAGGAGATGGGCCAAGTTCCCTCTGGCTGGAACGCCCTTCCCCCCCTTCTTCACCTGGCGAACTCCTACTCGTCCTTCAAGACCCAGCTCCAGCGGCATCTCCTCCAGGAAGCCTTCCCTGATTTCCCAGGCTGTGGATCCTTTTTGCCTCTGTGCTTCATGTATCCTGTGCTTCTCTTTCTCTGTCTCCACAGCCAGCATGCTGTCTATGGTTGTCACTCTCTGAGTCTGTCACCCCAGCAGACTGTGAACTCCTTGAGGGCAGGGACCTGCGATGTGCCTATCTGTCCTTAGTGCTGTGGCTGCCTGGCCCTGAGTGGGTGTGAATGTTTGGTGACCAGAACCAAACGTGATTAGAAGTGGGGAGGAGATAGAGGCCTAGAGCCACTTAGCATAGCATCTCCTGTGAGGGGTGCTGGGAACGAGAGGGATGGGGCCACTTCAGCCCTGAGAAGTAGGATAAGGAGCGTGGCCCTGGGGGACAGAAGACAGGGCTGCTGCCATCCTGCTTGGTGACCACAGGCAAGCCAAGGTCTCAGTCCCTGCCTTAGTTTCTCCATCCGTCAGATGGGCTGACGCTAGCCCCTGTCTCACAGAGCTGGGAGGCTCGGTGGGTCTCTGTGGGGCCAGTGCTCACTCGGCGTCAGCAACTGTTGTTAATTTGTGCTTGAACACCCCCCCAGCCAGTGTCTGAGGCCCAGAGGAGGGGGTCTTTCTGCCATTTGCAGCAGCAGCCTGGTTGCTCCTCGGGCAGCACTGGTAGCCAGGTGGCCTGCTGGCCCCTGGGCTGGAACGCATCTTCCAGTCTCTAGGCCCCACCTAGCACGGGCCAGTTGGGGCTGGATCCTCTTGGCCGAGCGACCTCTTCCCTGGGAGCTGTGTCGGGTTGTTTGAGGGTGGGAGAGGAGGGGCGTTGGGACCCCCGGGTATGGGGCTATTCTGCTCTGGTGACTTTGGCTCCTTGTTCCCAGGTGACCTCCTTCAGCACGCCCCCCACCCCAGAGCGGAACAACCGGCCCGCCTTCTTCTCCCCATCCCTCAAGAGGAAGGTGCCCCGGAACCGGATCGCCGAGATGAAGAAGTCTCACTCCGCCAACGACAGCGAGGAGTTCTTCCGGGAGGACGACGGTGGAGGTGACCCCCCACTCCGTGCCCTAGGGCCCCCGTGCCCTTCAGTCTTCTCTAGATCCAGACCATTTATTCATTCATCTGTTCATTCAGCAACACTTAGAGAGCGGGTGCCATGTGCCAGCCACCCCTCCAGGAGCTGAGGGTAGAGCCGGGGACGGACAGAAATGGCTGCTTCCGGGGTTCCCGTCCTGGTGGGCCCAGGCATCTCCTTGGCAGAGTGCTTGGAGCCCAGACGTGCAGCAGTATGTCAGTTTCAGGGGCTTCCCCACCTTTCTAAGGCCTTTCAGCCTGCTTAAGAAGGCCGATGGGGGCCGGGCGCGGTGGCTCAAGCCTGTAATCCCAGCACTTTGGGAGGCCGAGACGGGCGGATCACGAGGTCAGGAGATTGAGACCATCCTGGCTAACACGGTGAAACCCCGTCTCTACTAAAAACACACAAAAAAAAACCTAGCCGGGCGAGGTGGCGGGCGCCTGTAGTCCCCGCTACTCGGGAGGCTGAGGCAGGAGAATGGCGTAAACCCGGGAGGCGGAGCTTGCAGTGAGCTGAGATCCGGCCACTGCACTCCAGCCCGGGCGACAGAGCAAGACTCCGTCTCAAAAAAAAAAAAAAAAAAAAAAAAAAAAAAGAAGGCCGATGGGTGATCTGACGGCTCCACACACACGGGCTGTGGAGGGAGAGAGGAGGGCTCCCCTCCCTTGGGTCAGCTCACCCTCAAGGGGAGGCCCAGCCCTGCTAGCTCTGTGCAGCCTCCCAGGACCGTGTGCTCTTTGGTGACAGAGTCGCCACCTCATGCAGCCTCCTCCCAGCCTCCTGTGCCCCTGTCCCCCAGACTCTGGGTGTCTGTATCTGGGTGTTCCTGTGCCCCTCAGTCCTGCCCAGGCAGTCTGCACTCTCTCCTGAGCGCCTGCACCTGCTCCCTGTCCTCGCTCAGTGACCGTCCAGAATACAGGAGTCGTTCCCAGAGCCCCCAGGGAGGCCACGAAGGGGGGGTTTTAAGCAAGGGAGTGACACAATCAGATTAGCATATTTAAAATGCCACTCAGCAGACCCTGTGGGAAATGGCTCCTGGGGACAGCGGTGGCCATCACAGACTGGTTGGGAGGTTCTGCCACGCTCTGCTGGCATGGACCACGTGCCTTCCTCACTGTCATCCTCAGGACCCAGTGGGCGCCTGGCTGTGCACTGTGTGCATGTCTGTCTAGTGTATGGAAGTGAAGGATTGGCCAGGTGCAGTGGCTCACACCTGTAATCCCAGCATTTAGCAAGGCCGAGGTGGGTGGATCATCTGAGGTCAGGAGTTCGAGACCAGCCTGGCCAGCATGGTGAAACCCCATCTCTACTAAAAACACAAAAAATTAGCCCCGAGTAGTGGCAGGAGCCTGTAATCCCAGCTACTCTGGAGGCTGAGGCAGGAGAATTGCTTGAACCCGGGAGGCAGAGGTTACAGTGAGCCGAGATTGCGCCATTGCGCTCCAGGCTGGGCAACAAGAATGAGATTGTCTCAAAAAATAAGGAAGTGAAGGATTCGCTGATAACTCCCACTGAGCACCTCCCCCAGTGGGGAGCTGGGGCTGCAGCATTGGTCAGAAGAGGTGGCAGTCTTTGTCCTGACTACTGGAACCAAGAGGCAGGGGCCCCGCCTGTGCAAGGCCCGGGTCAGGGACTCCAGCACTGGCCTCCACCTGCTCTTGTGTGAACTTGGGCAAGCCCCTTCCCCACCTAGGCCCATTCCCGAGTCAGTGAGAAGTATTGATCACTGCCCTAGTCTACCTCTCTGGGGCAGGTTCCCCCAGCCGGGAGCGCAGGACTGGGTAACGGTGCAGGTCGGCCCAGGCTTGCCCCTCCCATGCTCTGCAGGTGGCAGTGCCTCTTCCAGGGACAGGGCCCGTGGAAGCAGTGAATTACACACTCTGTGTGGCAGACCCCCGGAGGAGACTGAGCTCGAGACAGAGAAGGGAGAGATGAGGGGGTGACCAAAGAAGTCTTCCGGGAGGTGGAGGCGTGGGTCTGGGCCGGAGGAAGGGGGAGGGGTGTCACGGGCGAGGAGGCGGCCGCTCTGGAGTGCGTGGGTGCTGGTGTGGAGGTGTTGGTAAGGAGCGTCCCTGCCTCAGCAGAGCGTGGCCTCAGCCTGGCCTGGGAGCTGGCGTCCTGCTCTTCCCCCCGCAGCCTGTGCTGTGGGCCTTGACCTGGCCTTCTCTCCTCCAGCCGATCTGCACAATGCAACTAACCTGCGGTCTCGGTCCCTGTCGGGCACGGGACGGTCCCTGGTTGGGTCCTGGCTGAAGCTGAACAGAGCAGATGGAAACTTCCTTCTCTATGCACACTTGACCTACGTGACTTTGCCGCTGCATCGGATTTTAACAGGTAACGCTGGCTGATTTTAACAGGGAAGCGGCCGCGCCCCACAGCCAGCTCTACCTCCAGGGCCTTGGTGCTTGCGAGCCACCCGGAGTCGTCCCGCCCCGTCCGGTCGGTTGGTTGGGTTTCTTTGCAGGGCTCTTGGCCTCCTTTTCTCAGACTTTGGGTGGAGCCATAGCTTTCCCAGAATCCTCCCTTTGCTCACCTTTCTGGCACACCTGCTGTCCCCTCGAGTGCCACAAGCCCGGGTGTGTGTGATTCACAGGCGATGGGAGGCTCTTGGGCCACCTCACCCACCCAGGCCTGCAGCAGCTGTGACAGGCCGTGGCTCTGGCCCCCACACCAGCTTGTACCTGAGCCCCTGCAGGGTGTGCCGTTGCTGCGGGCCCGTTTCCCAGTCTGCAGGTGGGGATGGTGGAGACGCGTCTCCTCTGCAGTCTGTGAAGCCTGGAGAGGAGATGCGTGAGTGGCCGAGGCGGGCTTCCTTCAGAAGTGGCACTGCTTAGCACTCCCTGCTGTTGAGGGTTACTGTTTCACCTGCTTCCCTCCTGCCGGCCCTAGACATCCTGGAAGTTCGGCAGAAGCCCATCCTGATGACCTAGCTGCGTGCGGAGCCTGTGCAGAGCCCCGGCCGGGCCCAGCCCTGGGAGTGCTGCCAAGTGCCTACCTGTCCACCGCCACCGGTGTCTCCTGTGACCCGCCAGTGCTGGAGCCGCAGCCAGGCGAGGCCACTCGACTCCCAGGGCCAGGGCCGACTCCACGAACACCAGCCCAAACTGAAGTGCCTCTTTCCTCCCCTGCTGGCTCTGCTCCGCCCTGTGCCCCCCGCCTGTCGCCCCCCAACCCATCTCTGGAGAGCCCTCTGCACCCAAACAGGACTAGAGCTGCCGAGCGGCCATGAGAGAGAGCGGGAGGAGCAGCTGATGCCCAGAGCGGGGCCAGACCGGCGCATCTACGTTCACATGCCCCCAGCAGCAGGTGGAACCACCCAGCCAGGGCACTCGGCGCATCAGACTGTCCACACCTTCTTCAGGAACGCCAGTTGAAGATTCTGGAATGCCATGTGGATGAACTTCAGCACCCGAGTCAGTCCCAGCTCATCCTTCCCAGTTGACCACTTTGTTCTAATAGGAGATGGGAATACAAGAAGTTTGATGGCTTTGCCCTGGGCTGGGAATACCTCACCCACGCCCAGTTCCAGAAAGGCCTCCAGCTGAGCAGACGGCCCCGATCCCGCCAGAACGGCCTTTTGCTTCCAGCCAAAGAACACCGCCAACACACACACCTCCAACCTGGGACATCCACGCTGGGCCTCGGACGGAGGGACCCGCAGAATTTGGATTCTGAGGGTAGTCGGGAGGCCTCGGTAGCCACGCAGAACAGGATTATCTGCCAGAGGGTGTCTGATGTGGGGTGGGGCTGGCATCATCCCAGGGAGGTTCTCGGTGGGACCCCGTCTTCTGGGGGCGGGGGTGTCTTCATCGTCCCTGGTTTCCTGGAGCTCACTTCCTTTGACAGCGTGTGCTGGTCCCATCTCAGACCAGCTCACTGAGGCAGAGGAGTTGCTCAGAGGCTCACATGGGCACTCCCATCGGTTCGTGTGAGCAGCTGCCCAGCCCCAGGCCTGCCCTCAGCCTGGTCCAGCATGAAGGCGTTTCCATCTGCAAGGATGCACGGTGCCCTCCCCGAGAGCAGGCCTGTCCCCTCCCCAACTGGGAATCAGCTGGAAGCTGGGTCTCTTTTGGCTGGTTTTGTTTGAAGTTCCCAGGAATGTTTCAGGTTTTCCAGCGATGTGTTTAGGGATCTTCTCTGGGGGGGAAAAGGAAGAGGAGGGGCTTGTTCTCCCATCTGTTTATTCTTTGGGCTCCGGGAACAGGGGACTACTTTGGGGCTTTCTCCAGACTTTTGTATATTATTATTAAAAGCGAGCTATTGCATTTCATTCTGCCTCAGTTTGCCCACCTGTGAAATGGGGCTTACACCACCTACCTCACTGAAGTCTCCAGGGTTCAAGTGTGTGGCTGGGTCAGGGCACGGTCACCCCATCATTCTGCATAGGTTGGGTCGGATGTTAGACTCCTGGGATGCCCACCTCCCCCTCCCCCTTTGTAATAACGTAGTCCGAGACTGTGCTTGGTGGGGGATTTGAACCTTCTCTCTCCTCTAGCAGTGTCCGCTCAGGCCTGATGGCTCAGCTCTGCACAATTTCATGTTCCAAACCCGTGTCTTAGGGCAGCACAGAGCCAGGTCATGTCATGCCCCAAAGTGTGGGGACAGAGCCTCAGCGAGCCCCGAGCGTGGCCAGCCCCATTTGAGTGCCCTCAGGGGATGCCAAATGCTGTTTCCAAGCTTGTGTCCATGTGGCTAAAATCCACCTATTTCTTCAGGAACTCTTCCCCTGGTTGTTCTGGGGACTTGGGAGGAACACAGTCCTGACAGCTCGTCCGTGGGAAGATGAGGCAGTCCAGGTCGTGAGCAGCACAGCGGCCCGCCCTCTGTTCTCAGAAGTGAGGGGCGTGAGAAGGTTCTCTCCCCTAGGCCAGCATGTGGCCAAGCTCGGAGGCTTGCCTGGATGGCTCGGGGCGAGCTGGGCTCCTCGTCTGTCAGATGGCGAAAGTGCTGCCCGCCTCACAGGTGACCATGAGGACCAGTCACAGTGACGTGTGAGAGGGCTCGCTGGTCACGGAAACGTGTGCAAATCATGCTGGTTTAGAGACCAGCCCTCAATGTGTAAGGCATGTGAACAGAGCACACGGTGGACTGGCGGTTTCATAGCCAACACGTAGCACCTACCATGTGCGGCCGCTGGTCCGACCCCATCTTACAGACGAGGAAACCAGCACACAGGCACTAGGGGACTGCCCGGAACAAACAGCAGGGGCCAGCGACGGGAGTCAAACCCAGGCATGTGGCCCGGCCTGCACGCTGAGCCACACGGTGCTGCCCGGACAGATGGACAGACACTTGGTGGAGTCTGCCTTTCTTAGTCCCTAAAACCCTCTCCAAAGGGTACTTGCGATGCCGGATTTAAACCTTGCTCAGGGCCACTTAGCCACTTGAGAACTAGACAGGAAGGTATTACTCCCAGGTTTGTCTTTCCAAAGTAACAAACGATATGTAGAATGAAGTAACAGAGTAACAAGTGGCAGGGCCAGAACCAGCGCCCCTGAAGTCCGGGTGTTGGCACATTTGTGTTTCTTGTACGGTCATCTTTAATTTTTCCGGGAACATACCTGCCTCTTGTGTAATGCAGGGAAGACTCATGCATGGTGACACCTAGGTGTCCTTAACAGAACACTTGATCCCAAAACCCCTTTAAGACATTAGGTTTCCTCAACAGAAAACTGTGCTTTAATCCCAAACTCCCTTTAAGACATATTGGGGCCGGGCGCCGTGGCTCATGCCTGTAATCCCAGCACTTTGGGAGGCCAAGGCAGGCGGATCACGAAGTCAAGAGTTCAAGACCAGCCTGGCCAATATGGTGAAACCCTGTCTCTATTAAAAATAGAAAAATTAGCCGGGCGTGGTGGGCACGTGCCTGTAATCCCAGCTACCCGGGAGGCTGAGGCAGGAGAATCACTTGAACCCAGTAGGTAGAGGTTGCAGTGAACCGAGCTTACGCCATTATACTCCAGCCTGGGAAACAACAGTGAGACTCCGTCTCAAAAAAAAAAAAAAAAAAAAAAAAGGACATATTGGTCTTTAATGGCAAACTCCCTTTAAGGCCTGTTGGTCTTAAAAGAGGATTTGGGATTGAAGCACAGTTTTCTGTTGAGGAAACCTAGGTGTCACTTTTTAGAACATGAAGAAGAAAGTTGTGGGATGGGCTTTTCCATTTAAAGGAATATATGATGATCCTACGTTCTGATGGGTGATAGATGGTCTCCGTTTATACCCTTTCTTTCAGCAGCTGTAGTAAGTTCAGGTAGTGGCCATCTTACATTCTGATGTCCTACTGGAAGTGCCTAGTTGCCTGCAAAGACAACTAAGGCTCATTATTTCAAAAGAAAATTCTTTAAAACATGAGTGACAGGTAGTCAGAAGAGAACAAAAGGATGCAAGATACTCTATAGCCACGTCAGCTTGGAGGCAGGATGGGAGGATGGGTTGCTGAGTGGGGCCGCCGCTCACGTTTGGCTTCTTGTGGACTGTGAGTTAGGCTTCCCTCTACATGGAGTCATGGGAAGGGTCTAAAGGCACATTCCTGAGGTGCCTTCCCTCAAAGTCTACCCACACTCAAACCAGGGCCTGTTTTTGCTGTTTTAATCATAAATAGACTAATTAGTAGAAGACTTTTGAAGAACAAAGTAAAACTTTTTTTTCATTAAAAGACGTGCCGGAGGAAAGGCCCTGTGAAGCCGGTATATTCTAATGACTGCCTTGACCATGTCCTGATATGCTGGTTTTAAGTTGTTGGCCAAAATCCTCTAAAGACATATGAAACATCTGCCAACTTTTTAGTGAACTTAACAGGTTTCACTGATGTTTTTCTCAATTTTCGAATTTAGGTGGGATCTGCTTTCATGTCCTGTTTCAAAAACCAAGTCTCTCTTGCCAGCCCAATGGTTCTTCCTGTCCTGTTGCTCTAGTCTGTATCAAAAACCAGAATGACTCTACTTCTGTTTTAAAAATAACCACCTGATGGGACGGACACTACGAGCTAAGGAAACGCACGTGGCCTTGAGCTTGAAGGAAGCAGCCTCTGGAGCGGCAGCCACTGCCCTTCGAGGGAGAGCAGCTCTTCAGCAGGTGGGCCCTGGGAGCCGGGCGATGGGCACCCGCTGGGGCTCTTCTTTTCTCTTTTTCACTGGCTGCTTGATCCCCAGCGGCAAAAGGACCCCTGAGCCCTTTCTTGGAGCCCTGGAGCGCTCCTTGGGACACGGAGTGGCCTTGGGGCTGGGTTCAGAGCTCCTGCAGGGGGAGTCTCAGAAGTGGAGGCAGCTGCTGATGGGCGAGTTTGCAACTTCTTACGTCTAAGGCAAGTAGGCGTTTTTATTCCGTCTCCAGTCCTTGAGCTCAGCAGATCAAAATCACAGTGACCCTGCAACCCTACAGAGCCCAGGGCACGCTCGCCATCTGTCTTCCCCGCTGTGCACCTTTAGTCCCCGCTCTGTGGAAGACCAGGCAGTTTAGGTGTACACAGGCCTCTTTTATGGTTTCCAAATGAATTATTTGTGTGAGAGTAATTAAATCTGTAAGAAAACTGACTCTGAATTATGATTTCTACAAAATGTATTTTAGCAAAAACACGATGATGGCCTGCACTGGAGAGCGCGGTATGCTAATTGCCAGTGCTAGTTTCATAACCATTCCCAACAGCTGCTTTATTAACCGTCTTCCACGTCCAGTAGCGATCATTTCTAGGCGGTATTTGTTGGTTGGCTGTTAGCTTTGCTTTATGATTTCATGTTTCTTTCAAAAGTTGTTTTGCATGTTGAATATTAAATTTTTCTTTTCTGTGTCTTCCTCTAATCTTTTTTTCTGTCATGGGCATTTCAGGGTAAATACAGATATAGCAAAGCGATCATGATTGAACCTTAATTTGCCCCCAGTGATTCCTTAAACTTTTTTTGGAGCTTTCACACAAGCTGCTGTTTTGAACTGGAGTGTGCTGGAGGCAGAGAGAAATCACCCTGTGTGCTGGCTTTGCCTGTCATGAGCCAGTGAGGAGTCCGAGAAGTGGTGGGCAGGTCAGTGACTGGGGTTTGGCCAGAGATGCCGTATTTGCAGAATTAAATCATTTCAAGATAAATTTCAAGGCCTGGCACGGTGGCTCACGCCTGTAATCCCAGCACTTTGGGAGGCCGAGGCGGGCAGATCACTTGAGGCCAGGAGTTCGAGACCAGCCTGGCCAACATGGTGAAACCCCGTCTCTCCTAAAAATACAAAAATTAACCGGGTGTGGTGATGGGCACCTATAATCCCAGCTACTCAGGAGGCTGAGGCAGGAGAATCGCTTGAACCTGGGAGGCAGAGGTTGCAGTGAGCCAAGCTCACACCACTGCACTCCAGCCTAGGTGACAGAGACCACACCACTGCACTCCAGCCTAGGTGACAGAGACTCCATCTCAAAAAAAAAAAAAAACAAAACCGCATTTCAAGTTTAGCTTTCAGCCTCCACAAGGTAGTGTATACCCTTTCAGTTGTATTGTAAAATTTCCCAGGCTTTTTCAGAGAACCTCGTAACCCTCACAGAAGTGGAGAAACAATGGAATAGAAGCCAGGAGTCCCAAGTTCAGGTTTTGCAGGCTCCAGGTAAGCTGCCTGGTCTAACGGAAGATGAGGTGTTCGCACCAGGCGGCTCTCTCGCAGCTCAGCGGGCGAGGGGACCTCGAGCAGGCTCTCGCACTTCCTGGCTGATCCTTCCGAGCCTGCTACTGCAAGGCCCTCGCAGGTGGAAGCAGCCTTGTCGTCGCCTTTCACACCATGAGCTTCTCCTTTCCATGGTCAGATGGACTTAGGAAGTTACCAGCGATGGGTGAAAGGCCTAACACACCGCAGAAAGTTACAGAATGGAAAATGAGGGGCAGAGAGAAAAGAGGGTCTGAGAGCAATGCAAGCAGTCTGGAACATAGTAAGGGACACCCCACCAGTGACACTTCTTGGGAACAGTCACTGCCTTAGAAACACCAGACCAGGAGAATTTTCTGACCAGCACCTCAAAGGCAGCCCATGAAGATGGCGGTTAGGAAGGAGACGGTCTAGCAGGCGAAGACTTCCTTGCCATCCAGGTCAACCCCCTTCTCGTTGAACAGTGGGAAGTTCTTTTAAAGCAGTCACCTGACATATGTTTAATAGACACTTCGGGCGAGTCTGTATCTTGAAGCTGCCTGCAGGAACTTCATTCCTATTCATTGCCTCCTCTGGAAGGCTAATTTTGCTGTTTCAGTTCCTTTATCCTTAGATGAGCTTTTAGGAACTACTGTCATGCCCTAGCTTAGAAGGAAAAAGTTAACTGGAAAGGAAAACCTTCGGGAATCTTATACTGGGAGGAGAGGGGAATGTAACTCAATCCATACAGTAACACAGTTCATTGTAAATAGACATGTTGACTGTGGTAGCATGCTATACTTTGTGCCTGATTGTTAAAATGACGAGAACAGCTGGAAAATTTACATGAGGAAGGGAAAATACTTGTTTCTGGGGATGAAGGATCATGTTCTTTTCTCTCCTTACGGCATCCCTGAATTGCCCCCTGACCTAGCCTCTCCATCAGCCAACAGGTTAACGAGCTTTCTTTCCTCCGTGTGGACCGGGGTCTTTCCTCTTGGAATCTGACTTTAATAGAACAATTAGGTTGCTCATTTTTAAATAACCATGGTTTTTAGCTGAATTTTATGCTACTCTGAATAAACAATTTTCTCAAAAGATTTTAGCCAATTCCAGAAGTCAGTGCAGTCGAGTCATTTAGTGGGCACGTACATCTCCTTAACACGGCACGCTGGGGAGAGGAGTGTGGGGCTGGGACCTCAAGCTGCAGCACCTCAGACACACTCAACCCTGGGCCTGGGTTTCCTCAAGTAGAATCACCACTTTCCTTCCAGGGATGCGACGATGTTGAAGTGATACAAAGTACGTCCAAAGGCTGGCGTAGCTCCTGGCAATGCTGATAACTACTGCCATTTCTTCCCGGCGTGCCCAAGGGGTATTTCATGGGCCATCTTTAGAGTCATCAGGACTGCATGTGTGCCAGCGGTTCCCAAATGTGAACGTGCATCGGGATCACCTAATGTACGCTCTAACCCAACGTTCAAACCCAGAAGACTGGTAAGGAAAGTACTCTGGAATCAGTGATGACGGCTGCACAACTCTGTGAGTATGCTGAAAGCCACTGAATCGTATACTTTAAAGGGGTGCAGTTTATATGAATTCTATCTCAATTTTTAAAAATGGGCTCCGGCCTGAGGTGCTGATTCAGTAGCCTAGTTGGGGACCATGGGTTTGCCTTTTTCTGGGGCAGGCGGGGGAATGGACAGAGTCTTGTTCTCTCACCCAGATTGGAGTAGAGTGGTGCGACCACAGCTTACTACAGCCTGGACCTCCTGGGCTTAAGCGATTCCTTCCACCACCACGCCCAGCTAACAAAAAAAAAAAACTTTTTTTGTAGAGACAGGGTCTTGCTGTGTTGCCCAAGCTGGTCTCTAACTCCTGGGCTCAAGCAAGCTTCCCACCTCAGCCTCCCAAAGTGTTGCAACTGCAGGCATGAGCTACCTTGCCCAGCCGGGTTTGCCCTTTTTTTTTTTTTTGGGGGGGGATAGGGTCTTGCTTTGTCACCCAGGCTGGAGTGCAGTGGCATGATCACTGCTCACTCCCTGGAGCCTCCACCTCCTGGGATCAAGCCATCCTCCCACCTCAGCCACCCAAGTAGCTGGGACTGCAGGCGCATGCCATCGTGCCTGGTTACATTTTGTATTCTTTGTAGAGCCAGGGTTTTGCTATGTTGCATGTTGGGGACCAGCCTCAGCACCACCCATAGGGTACCCGAAGTCTGTTGGCGACAAAGCACTGAGAAGAGACAGGTTAAGAGTAAAGGTGGAGCCAGGGGGCCAGTTGCAAAATGTGGAGGCTGCAAAAGGCTCAGAGCTCTAGTCTCCACAGTATTTATTGAGTACAATCACAGAAGCAGATGTTGAGGGCGGAACAGTGAAAGGGTGCAGTGCGTCACAGGCGTAATCTACAGCAATAGCGGTTTAAATGAATCTCCTTTGTGCTCAAACAGCGTATCTTTAACTTACCGGAGAGTAGCTAGTGGGAGCCGGCTTACTAGGAGCCTGCACGTCTGTCCACATTCCAGTGCTTCAAAGGAGTGTCTTTCTCGTTGAACACAGTATTTACAGATAGGAAAGCGGGTCTCGCTCTGAGCATGGGAACATGATGGCAAATAGGCTTTTCTCCTCACAGGCCTCTTGTAACTTTCCACAATTTATTGTCCCGTATTTTTATGGCCAGTTTATACAGGCATCCACAAGCCCTTTTCCCAACAGTTGCACAGGCTGATCTTGAACTCCTGGGCTCAAGTGATTCACCCGCCTCAGCCTCCCAAAGTGTTAGGATTACAGGTGTGAGCCACCGCGCCCGGCCGGGCTTGCATTTCTGTCAAGTTCCTATGTGGCAGTCCCAAGACCACTCTGAGAACCCGGGTTCTAGCCCAGCCATGCAGCTGAGTATCTATACTGGGCTTCTGCAGTTTAGGCACCATCTTCCTCTTGAGATAACATTCTCTTAGTGTCATTTAGTTTCTATTCGATGTTAACAGTTCAGGAAAATACTTTGATGGATAACAAGTCTTTGCAGTACTATTTTTTTAAACCAGGAAATACCCCCTTATAAACCAAGTAAATGCTGAGTAACGTAGGAAAGGTTAAAAATATGTCTCAAAGGTTTGCTTTGAGGACTAACCAAAGTAATACATATAAAGCAGCTAGCGAAGCTTTGCACACTAGCCCATTAAGGATCAATTGTTCCCATTCCAATCTGTTAAGATTTTAATCCAACAGAAACCCTTGGTCTGAATGGTTTAAAAGTAGTGTCAACCCCCAGCCAGGAGTCTGATAATAAATTAGTCTCTCACTCACCTCCAAGCCGACCTTCCTGTTGTTCTAGAAGTTTCTGGTTGCAGCTTCTGCGTGATTCTTTTCCTCAGGTCTGACTTGTATTCATGCCAAGTGCATCACAGAGGAACATAAGACTGGCATACACTGGGATTTTGTTTACTTTTCATTTATTCACATTTCATGGATTGGTTACACTTCCTCGATGGGAGCATTCAAATCTAACACAAGCTGAGATTATATTGTCTGACAATTCAAGTATTTTAGTTTTAGAAAACAATTTCCTATTTAAAGTAAAAAGCAAACAATTTATCCATCTGATTGCTAAGAAGTTTACATCTCCATTACAATTGTGTCTGCATCAAACGGAGAGTCCTTCGTCCTCAGGATCATTGTTACTGGCTGAGAACATACAGTGGCCTGTGTTCCGAGTGCCTGATTGGAAAAGACCTCCCCATCATCTACCATACTACGGGACAAACCAGTATCTACTCAAATTCCCACTTCCAGAATGAGAGGACTCATCAGGGGTTTAGGAGTTTGCAAAGCCTTCAAAATGCATCGTGCTTGAATTTTGACTCTTCTGAAACAATAACTGACAAATGCTCAAAAAACAAACTTGTTTAACTTTTACTGAAAAGGCTCTCAGTGAAAACTTGTTTTGAACTCTACCAGTAAGGTAGAATGTTAGTTTTTCTTCCCCTCTACACCAGAAAAGGTAGTTTTCTCTCTCTCTCTTTTTTTTTGGCATGCAGCATATATAAAATTGTAATCTAGAATTGAAATTGTAAAATATAATAATCCTCTTAAAGAAAATCCATGAACAGTCAGACTTGTCCTTCCATGGAAAACATAATCTAAACTTCTTTAAAAACTGGACATATTTTAAGTCTGTAATTCAAATAATGAAGATGGCATAACAAATTTTTTTGCTTACTAGGAATGCGCAAAAGGATGAGATGGATACACAGGTTTTAAAAAAAAAAAAGGCCACTGGGATACTTAGTATTTGCCAAGATGCAAAACAATTTTAGAATAACAAAATACACACCTTACTTTAGGCCACGTATATGATACACTTCATAGATTCTCAAAAAACGAAAATTTCAGTCCACATTAAACATTTTAAAGCATAATTGCTAATATTTTGTTAAAAATAAGTCAAACTAGACGCATAAATCAGAATTACCTGTTAACATAGTGGGGAAAACAGGTAGGCCCTCCGGGGGCCCCATGCCCCAAGTAAAAGACAAGGAGTTACATTTCACAGTCAAATCCACGTGTACTCAGGCTCTTTACACCAACAATCAAAGTGGAGACCAACCAGTTCCTAAAGCATACAAGAGTGATTTTAAGAAAATCCCCCATTCTGAGTTTTATGGTAGACGTGTCACATTTTCCCTGTAATTTTCACTTTAACAGTGATAGTCTTAGCAGCAAAAATTTGCTGGGAATGTTAGGAAAAAAGAAAGCCACACATACCTACTAATTTAAAAATATATAAACTATTTTTTACAGAAGGGGCAGGCTTAAAAGATAATCCGATCATGATCTTTTCATGCCATTTTTTGTAGACTTTCCATACACGCGCAGACGCTAACAAAGTGCTGTGTCATACGCTCTTAAGTGTCCGAAAGATGCCTGCGAGCTTGATTCCAGCTGGTACCAAGGCTAAGTTGCAATAAACTTAAATTTGTTCCCCTTAGTTCTTCATCTTTTTAAAAGTTGAATAAACCTAATGTCAATTGGGCAGGGCGGGTATTAACAGCATCAACCACTTGCTTACTATCATCGGCAACAAAAACTCACATGCATTCTCAATTCTAAAAAGTCAATGTAAAAATAATGGCCACTTCCTAGGTGCCTACTATAGCTATGTCTGACAGCACCCTGTATCAGTACAAGCACACCTCTCTGCACGGATTCATGCAAAGCCACACACTAGGCCAGATTCTCCCGGTGGAATCAGAACACTGAAAGTAGAGCAAGAACCTCATGACAGCGTTGGCCCAATCACACCTCAGGTACTTAGGAGTTCATCATATTTGATCACAAAATTGCTCCTGGCCCCAAACTTTACACCTAAAGATTGTAGTTTTAAAAAAGCCACTGTGCCGTCCACAATTATTCTGACTACTCTCTTCTACATGAGAACGCACAAAGCACCGAAGATCAGAACACACATGTGAGCCCTTGGGCACCGACCCTGAGCCTGTACACGAGATCAGCTGGCACTAGTCTCAAACGATTCATGAGGAATCAAAGTGGATATTTAAACATTCAATTGTGCATCTCATTCCTCTGCCCAGAATCTTCCAAGAACGCTCGTGTTAGTTACCTGACAGCTCTGGAGAAGTGACGTCGATATTCGTGTGCATAACCATGGCTCCCTTCCAAACAGACATATGGAATCTTATTCTTAAAAAAGTAAAGATATTTCAGGTATCAAATGTATAATATACTGCTGTCTAAAGTTAAAGGCAAAATTTACACACGATTTTCTCTTCCATTACCTTATTACATGTTTCCTAGTGAATTCAAATGGCTCGTGTGTCAAAGTTCCCAGGCACGTCACTTGGTCATAGTTTTCATATGCGTGGGGTTGATTATGGTACAAATGCCTATGAGCATCTTCTTTTTCTAGGATGGTCTCGTTTGACTTTCATTTCGTAAAAGGGTTCCCTGTCCATGGTGTAGATGATAAGCTACCAAACTTGTGCTTTTAAACCCATTCCTGGCAATCCCCCGTTATCTTAATTTTGTCTTTAGGGGGATAAAGAAGTTAACACTACCTCATGAATAGAAACTACAAAGCCAAAAAAATCCTTCACAAGCTGTTCATTTCCTTTTAAAATGAAAATGCAGGTCCTGAATTCTCATGAAGCAGCCCACAGGGCTACAGGCCAATGATTCGTATGCTGAGGTGAACACTTAGTACTCACATTTTAGCTTCAAAATACAAATAAAGCAGAGGACAGACACCTGTCACAGCGTGGCAGCCCAGTTCATTTGGTAACAGAATGAGTCTCACACGTCGGCTGAGCCCACCGGAGAGAAGCACACAAGCCAGCTTTCTTCTGAACATAGCCAGGCACCTGTTCAAGAGCCTCTCTGGTGGTGGCGGTGGACCCCAAAACCCACGGGTTGGAAGAGCCTTTGGGAAAGCGAATCGATACCCTGATTGCAGTCCTTGAAGAAATCACTTAGGGTTAGTTTAATAAACAAACGAACATTAAAAAATCTTCCAAAAATTGCATTCGAATGTATTTTAGACTTTAGGCAGTTCTTAAGAAGGGAGAGTGCGGTTTCCTGACACTTAACATTTAAAGGTTTTATTGGCCACATTAATCTTCCTCACAAAAGTTTTAAGTTATCTATAAGTTCTTAGAATGTCAAAGAAGAGAAGAAAAACTGACTAAGTTTAAGGGGCGGTGGGAGAAGCAGCAACTTGGCAATAATTCCGCAGCCGACTTCGCACGTTCAGGCATCCTTTTTCTCCAGTAAAATTTTGTGCAACTCATCTGCATCCTCGCTGGTTTTTACCCGAATCAGCATGGTGACTGGCATGGTGGCATTCTTCTCGTCGATTGGTGGATTTGGAACACAGACGATGAGAACGTTATTTTTCCCTGTTCGCGTACATGGCATATTGGGCGGAATCAGAACATTCAGCAATATGTTGCCTGCATTCAAACAAAACCCATCAAAATTATAGAAGCCACAGCTCCACCAAAGGAGTCTGTAACATGCTAAACATTAAACACTGAAATAACTTATACTTAATGGATCTAACATGGGGAGCCAACAGGAATGGCTCAAAATCAGGACCGGTTCCCTGAGAACTGGGAGGCCTCGGGGAGGACCTGCCCTCACTGTGAGGAGTGGCCTTCGGCCCTCGCTCCAGCCTGGGTCTCTGCAACCACACAGCGTTTCTCACAGAGCCAACAGCCTCACTCAGAACCATCAGCCCTCTCAACACTGTCCATTTTTGCACTGAAGGAAGAACAAGGTGGCACAACAGAATCTTCACTGCACCACAGGACCAAAGGACACCTCTGTCACAGAGGCCGGCACAGCCCCCTGGGCAAGAGTGACACGACCGTAATGTTATTACTCACTAGTCAAGCCTACAGGAAAGAAAAACGCCTCCCTGGAGTTTCTTTCTGCAACACAGCCCCCGTTCTCTACCACTACTGCCCACTCCACCGCAGCCTGCCCGTCTTCCTCCTCCTCCGGGTGCTAGGCTCCTTGCAGTGGACTCTTTTCAGGGTAAACTGAGGGTGGACAGCGATCAGTTAGTGATCACTTGCCATATAAAAAGGATTCCTTTAAAAGGTTAATTTCCTTTGGGTGTTCATTAAACGGTCTAATCTCTAGCTTCTTAGTCACATTTCTAACACAAAGGAAAATGAAAAACCATTTTGTTTACAGTTTCCAACACATCTATGTTTCCTTACACACTATTATCCTGGGACTCAAAACTAGAAATAAGTAAATACAGGATGAATTTGGCCTGAATGTGCTCTGTTTAAAAACTTTAAAAACATACTAATAACCTTGAATCAGCAGGGCAAAGGCTTTTATATACTATGTGATGATGATGATTTTGTGCCAAGTAAAAAAAAGGTACCCACCTAAATTGGTGTCTGCCCGCACCAAAAGCTGTGTCTTCTGATTCGCTGTAGGTTTTAAATGCAGAGTACCTATGCCTTTCTCTTTAAACTCATTGTCTTTCTTGTAAAATAGTTTACACCTATGGAGAAGAAAAATAGGTGCCATCAAGCATTCAGAGACAAATCAAGTCACACAGTTTTCTAACAAGCACTCTTCACACTTGGGTGGAAAATCTGTATTAAATGAGAGTACAGGAAGTTTCAGGATAAATCTTTAAACGATCCAAAAGGAGCCTGAGCAAAAACCAGAATAAGAAAATCTGCTTAGGGATTTTAAAACCCCCTCCCCATTTTTTCAAATCAAACAATGGGCCCCATGAAACTTTTTGTAACACTTTTTGAAACTGTGTTCTCAAGTCAGTCAAAATCAGAGCTCAACACCCCTCCCTCCGTATTCTGCTCCTTTGGCCCTGAGCTCCAGAGAGCTGATCTGGTCCTCTACAGACAGGAGCAAATAAAGGACCAAGCTCTGTCCTGCAGCTCACCCACCTCTCCCTTTTTTTTGGCCTATTTCTTATTTTAAAAATTCTCCTCAAGGCTCCTTCAGTTTTTGCCCAACATTTTGCAACAAATTTGGAAAACATGTTTGGGTAGGGTCTAACTAATAACAAAGTAATCAAATATCTTCCCAGCCTCCTGTGCTTTACATCTCCTGAGGTTATTAATACAAAACCATGGCTCATTTATGTAATTATTTAGAGAGACAGTCTTACTCTGTGGTCCAGGCTGGAGTGCACTGGCATGATCTTGGCTTACTGCAACCTCTGTTTCTCAGGGTTCAAGCAATTCTTGTGCCTCAGCCTCCCAAACACCTGGGATTATAGGCGTGTGCCACCACATCCGGCTAATTTTCATATCTTTAGTAGAGACGGGGTTTCACCATGTTGGCCAGGTTGGTCTGGAACTCCTGACCTCAGATGATCTGCCCATCTCAGCCTCCCAAAGTGCTGGGATTACAGGTATGAGCCACCATGCCTGGCCTTATTTGATTCTAATTAAAAATCTTAAAGTTGAGTCACTCCTTTATGTCATGTGAGTAGTGAAATTTAAAACACACAGAAATTGTTGGCCTCTTTTACACGTTCTTGAAACACCTGGGAATCCCACAGGATGTGGTGACCTGTTACATGGAGAGCTGCTCGCTCATTATTCTGAAATTTCTGCATTACAAAAACACATCTTGAAAGTTTCTGAAATGGCACAAGTGTTTTTTCAGCAAGTATCTTTGTAAAAACTAATCTCATTTAATTGAAAGGAAGATGAAAATTTTTATAGGTCCTGAACAGGAAGGGACGGTTACTGTGCATAACTTTTTGACTATGAGAAAATCCAGAAAGGCCAACCAAATCTCCTGGAAGGGATAAGAGATACGTCCAGGGTAAAGTAAGTGAAGCCAAACCTGAAATCAGTGACTGACTCCGCGATTTCTTTGTTGGGGGAGGAGGAAGGGAGGGAGAAAGACATGGAGAGAAGAGGGAATGGGACGGGATGGGATTGGGAAGATCATAGAAGTGCCTGTCTCTAAAGCACTTTAAAAGAGCTAAAGTGACAGAAAAGAGAGATCTGCCCACCAGGACATTCCTAGAACTGGTTTTTAAAATAAACTGGCCAAGAATTCTTTCCTGTTCCACTTGAGAGCAGGCAAAGCTTGACCCTCAGTCAAGTGCCTTAAGGACATTCTCCGGTCTGAAGCATGCTACCATGTCTCTAAAACACATGCACCCGCAGGCTCTGGTGAGTCTTACTTTTTGGAGTAAAAAGCATCATCTTCTTTTACTTCGGTAACTACTACTTTGGGTGGCTCATCATTCTCTTCTTCATCTCCACCTTTTAGAAAAAAAGACAATAATTCAGTAAGATTCCAATCCAGAGTTTAAAAAAGTGACAGAGTTTTGTTATGTAACACCCTAAACATCCACCTGAGCACTCCATGTAAACTGACAGACCTAACGCAGGGGGATGCCAGAAGGGAGTGCCTGCTGGATTTTAACTATTTTGTGAAAAACAAGAATCCTTTCTTTTTTTTTTTTTTTTTGAGGCGGAGTTTCGCTCTGTCGCCCAGGCTGGAGTGCAGTGGCCGGATCTCAGCTCACTGCAAGCTCCGCCTCCCGGGTTCACGCCATTCTCCTGCCTCAGCCTCCCGAGTAGCTGGGACTACAGGCGCCCGCCACCTCGCCCGGCTAGATTTTTGTATTTTTTTTTTTAGTAGAGACGGGGTTTCACCGGGTTAGCCAGGATGGTCTTGATCTCCTGACCTCGTGATCCGCCCGTCTCGGCCTCCCAAAGTGCTGGGATTACAGGCTTGAGCCACCGCGCCCGGCCAAGAATCCTTTCTAATGGGAACGTATCTCTTAATTCTAAATAACTTCCAATATACAGAAAACCTTAGAATGGAAAAATCTCCATGCTTATGACAGAAAAATAATCATCACTCTATATTCAAATTACCCACTGGAAAATTACATCTCAGATGAGTTTTTAACACCTTTACCCCTGAATATTCCTGTGACCATATCCACAACAAGTATCAGTAATGGCCAAAGATAGAAAAATACTTTTTTTTTTTTTTTTACAGGGGGGCAAGTTGTCGGAGAAATCATTCCAAAACCCCAGTGTAAGTAATTTAAGCTTTGTCTGAATTGCCACATGGGTCACTTCGCTGGTATCAAAGGTATCCCCACAATGGGGTCTCCCAAACATGGGAGACCTAGGCCATTATTTAAACAAGACACTATATAAACACATGTATTAGGCCGGGTACAGTGGCTCACGCCTGTAATCCCAGCACACTGCAGGGCCAAAGCAGGAAGATCACTTGAGCCCAGGAGTTCGAGAACCAGCCCGGTCAACATGGTGAGACCCCCCAGTCTCTACAAGAAATAAAAAAGTTAACCAGGTGTGGCAGTGCATGCCTGTGGACCCAGCTACATGGCAGACTGAAGTGGGAGGATTGCTTGAGTCCAGGAGGTAGAGACTGCAGTGAGCTGTGATTGCGTCACTGTACTCTAGCCTGGGTGACAGAGCAAGACCTTGTCTCAAAAAAATAAAAAAACCCCACATATATAAAAGGATCCTCTTAAAGAGAACGGCAGTTGCATAAAAACTCACTAAAAAGCAATTCTAAGAAAAACTGTAGTGCTCAGATAATGAGTCACACGACGACCCATCTCATCACTCCAATCTCCGCAGTCACATGACTATCCATCTCACCACTCCAATCTCCCCGGTCACATGACTATCCATCTCATCACTCCAATCTCCCTGGTCATGTGACTAGTCATCTCATCACTCCAATCTCCCGGTCACGCGGCTACCCATCTCCATCCTCCAATCTCCTGGTCATGTGACCATCATCTCATCACTCCAATCTCCCGGTCACATGACTACCCATCTCATCACTTCAATCTCCCGGTCACATGACTACCCATCACTCCAATCTCCCAGTCACATGACTAGCCATCTCATCCCACTCCGTCTCCCCGGTCACATGACTAGCCATCTCATCACTCAATCTCCCTGGTCACACAACTACCCATCACTCCAATCTCCTGGTCTGACTACCCCATCCTCAATCTCCCATTCACATGACTCTCCATCTCAACACTCCAATCTCCCTGGTCATGACTATCACCTCAACCTCCAATCTCCCGGTCACATGACTAGCCATCATCACTCTAGCAATCTCCTGGTCACACGACTACCCATCTCATCACTCCAATCTCCTGGTCCACCACGACTACCCACATCCTCCAATCCACTCCAATCTCCCTGGTCACACGACTACCCATCACTCCAATCTCCCTGGTCATATGACTATCCATCTCAACACTCCAATCTCCCCGGTCACGTGACTATCCATCTCATCACTCTAATCTCCCCGGTCACGTGACTATCCATCTCATCACTCCAATCTCCCTGGTCTCCTGATGCGTACACTGATAACCAAGGGCAAGGAACAGGCGCTCACTGAGGGGCATCCTGCATTCACTGGGACTCAATTCAAATCCAGCATCACTGTGTCCCAGTGCCTGCCTCAGGAAAGACTCCCCATTTGTTTTAGTTACATGAGGCAGAGAAAAAATAAAAAGGGGAGACCCTTGTTTCACCCTGTGCCCAAAGGGCCCGTGCCAGAGGATAGACTTGAAAGTAGGACAAGGCAAAACAGTAATGGAAGTCTAGCCTCCTGCTAGAAAACCATAATTCTAAGGATCAGTATGTTCATATGTCTGAAAAGTACACTTTTTCTTTTGTTGAGGCAAGGTCTGTGTTGCCCAGGTTGGAGTGCAGTGATGCATCCATGGTTCACTGCAACCATGAACTTCTGAGCTCGAGATACTCCCCTCAGCCTCTTGAGCAGCTGTGACTACAGGCACCCACCACCTGGCCTGGTTAATTTTTAAAAATTTTTATAGAGATGACGTCTTGCTATGTTGCCCAGGCTGGTCTCAAACTCCTGGCCTCAGGTGAGCCTTCCACTTCGGCCTCCCAAAGTCCTGGGATTACAGGTGTGGGCCACCTCACCTGGCTTCACTTTTAACTGCTTACAAGTAGGCATCTTCACAGACATCATTTGTTCACAATCACCATGTGAGGAAGCAGCATTATGACATCTAAACAGCGGGAGTGGAGGGCCCAGACTAAGGCCCAGACCTTTTGCCTGGTCTGGGGCACTGATGCTACATACAGGAGACATCACTTAGACACCACTGCTGTCCTCTGGAAAGGAGGTGCCTCCAAACCCACAAGAGGAAAACACTGTTGATTTGTTCTCTATGGCTATGAAAAGTCTACATTTTTAACGTATAGTCAAGTACTGTTTTGCCACATGACTTTATTTACAGTCAAATCTCCTAAGTACAAATCAGTTCAGGGGACATTCATGATGAACTTGATGAACTTTTTCCAAAACACAATTCTCAAAAAACGTCTTTAATTCACTTCTTTTTTATATGCTAAGCCATGTGTGTTTGAGACTTTTCAAAGTCAGGTGTTTCCAAATTCATTTTATTTTTAATCCTTATAAACAACCCTACAAAATAGGTCTTACTCTTTTATAAAGAAGGAATCGGAAACTCAGAGAAGCCGATTAGCTCTGCCCAGGATCACACATGGAGAGGACGACAGCGTCTCAATGTGGATCCAGATCCATTCGGAATCAAAGTCTCTGTGTTTCCCAAGACACAAATCTTATGCAAACCTCAACCCAATGCCAAAGCTGGTACTTACCTTTGCATTCACCACTGTCACCTTCCACTTGGCCCTCCAGTGGTTTGGTGGGAAATGGTGAAGAGCCTGGTTTACTCTGGGTGGTATCTTTACCAAATAAACTGGAGGTTCCAGGGGAAAATGAAAATCCAGTCAGGGGGACAGAGCTTAATGGGCCCAAAACAGAGCTATCAACTTTCTTGCCGAAATTAAACGAGGCACTTGTCGCTCCTAGTGATGGGTCCGTTTTCTTTTCAGATGCAACCTCCACCTTCTTGTCAGGCGCATCTTCAGTTTTGTTGCCATGAAACAAAAACGTTGACTCTTGCTGTAACTTTGCTGAGCCGAAAAGGGAAGGAGACTGTGTTTCAGCCGCCGTTTTGTTAGATTCACTTTCAGAATTCCTGCCACCATTCCCGTGTTGCTGTTCAATGTTTGCTAAATATTTCTCGTAGTCTTTAAAGATAGGTGTCAGATCACAGAGGGGGTTTGTATTCACGTGCTTCACTATCCAATCCCGCACGGAGCAGTTCAAGGCGGCCAACTGCTTGTGATAGGCATTTCCGACACAAGCCTTACTGGAAGCAAGGCCAGAGGAGGAGGGCTGCTGACTGTCCCCGTTAGTTTTGGGATTTGAAACTTTTTTATCAACCAAGGCGGTAGGGCCATTTGCAGCAAGAGAACCTATAGAAAGTTAATAATTAAACCATTTATTTAGACTAATTTGATTAAGTCATCTAGATTTTTATGCCACTCTGCCTTTACACTTCCTGCTTTGACTGTATCTCCCCCTCCACCGAGACGGTCTTGTTCTGTCACCCAGGCTGGAGTGCAGTGGCACAATCTTGGCTCACTGCAACCTCTGCCTCCCGAGTTCAAGCGATTCTCCTGCCTCAACCTCCCGAGTAGCTGGGATTACAGGCACCCACCACCACATCTGGCTAATTTTTGTATTTTAGTAGAGACGGGGTTTCACCATGTTGGCCAGGCTGGTCTTGAACTCCCGACCTTGAGATCCTCCCGCCTTGGCCTCCCAAAGTGCTGGGATTATAGGCATGAGCCACTGTGCCCAGCCTACTGTATCCTATTTTTGTGACAGCTCAAGAAGTATGTGTTCAAGGAGTAGTATTTACTAACTGGTTATCAGTAAAGCCGATGAATAAAGATCAAGTCAAAGTTTATACAAGAACACTAACCACCATATGCTTGTTCTACACATTTAAAAAATAATCTTTTCCTTCAAAAGGACACCTATTTGAGATGAGATCAGGCATGTCCAGGGTGGTGTGGCTGTAGACAAAAGGATGCCTATTTCAAACAGCACTGTCAGAATAGTAGGTCAGTATTAACAATACCCAAGGTTCTTGGAATGGACAGTATTAAAGTATAGTCGCCCCTCTGTACCTGCAGGTTCCACACGTGTGAAATGCAGTCCTTAGCCAGGTGCGGTGGTTCATGCATGTAATCCCAACACTTTGGGAGGCTGAGGCGGGCAAATTGCTTGAGCTCAGGAGTTTGAGACCAGCCTGGGCAACATGGCAAAACCCCATCTCTACAAAAAATGCAAGAATTAGCTGGGTGTGGTGGTGTGCACCTATAGTCCCAGCTACTGGGGAGGCTGATGGGGGAGGATCACTTGAGCTCCGGAGGTTGTGGCTGCAGTGAGCCAAGATCACACCAATACACTCCAGCCTGGGTGACACAGCGAGACCCTGTCTCAATGCAGTACTCCGGGGATGAGGACTAGTGGATACAAACACTTTTCCTATCTAAGAGTTATGTGGTCTGACTATGGGACTTGAACATCTGAGGGGGTGCTGAAACCAGTCCCCAGGATACTAGGGGATGGCCGTAGTTAGAAATCTTTACAGAGGCTGGGCGCAGCGGCTCACAGCTGTAATCCCAGCACTTTGGGAGGCTGAGGCAGGTGGATCACGAGGTCAAGAGATTGAGACCATCCTGGCCAACATGGTGAAACCCTGTCTCTACTAAAATCACAAAAATTAGCTAGGCGTAGTGGCGCACGCCTATAGTCCCAGCAACTCGGGAGGCCGAGGCAGGAGAATCGCTTAAACCCAGAGGCAGAGGCTGCAGTGAGCAGAGGTTGCGCCACTGCACTCCAGCCTGGCGACAGAGCAAGACTCCAACTCAGGGGGCAAAAAAAAAAATCTTAACAGAGAGCACTTATTTTAAATCACACTACACATTCTGCCAAATTAAAATCAAACAGTACATACTTTCAGAAACATTAGCTAAATACAACCAACCAGTCAGGATCATTTCCAAGCTTTTAACCCATGTTGCTAATTCCAGGAGTTTTTGACTAATTCCCTCAAAACAGCATCAGGCAATCAACACATCCCATACCCAAACCAATCGAGCATGGGAGGGACCCTGGTCACGGAGAACCTCATCTGAGTTCCCACTAGCTGCTTTGGTGCGAGGCACACAGAAAGCCCTTGGACACAAAGGGTCTACCTAGCATTTTCTTTTCTCTCTTGACTCTACGTCAATTCTGAGGGTCATTCTCCTTTCAAAATTGAACATTCTGAGGCTTAGAGGCCAGGGGTCACACAACTGGTAACTGGCAAAGCTGAGAACAAAATCGAGATGTTTTGGATCAAAAGCCTGTGCTCTGCCCACTTACTCTGTAAATAACCAACACTTCCCTAAGTCTCATCTCTTTCATTATTACGCTGGTTTTGCTCACATAGTTCCAAGACACAGGGTAGGTATAAGAAAAGCATCTTTGCAAAGCTATTTTCCATAGATTATACTTACACAGGTGGCTGGGGGATGGGAGCCTACTTACCAAAGGCTACCTTGGGCTCTGCCGCTGCCTTAGCACTGGTGAAGGGAGGGGCACTGGTTATGTTGTTTCCATTCGACAGTCCTTCCAAAGGCTTCCCTCCAGCACCACTACCAAATCCAGGAAACCGTCCTCCTCCGGAAGGTACAACCAAACCTTTAAAACCTTTAAAGGCTCCTCCACTGTCAGACTGAAATATGAAGAAGGAGCACACATTAGGTAAGTATACTTTCTATTACCAAATAAGCAAGTGAGTGACTATAGCATCTTGGCTAAATAGCACCTAGACTCCATATGCAGTCAGCATTATAAGGCAAACTGCTGGCACAAGTAGAAATAAGAAATGAGATGGGAAGATTCTATTCATAAGAATGGCTTTGCAACCCAAAGCTGCCTTCCTGAAACAGGCAGGAAGGACATTTAAAAAATATATGTGTATTTTTAGGACATAAAAAGTAAGAAAGACGAATGCAATAAACCTGTGTACCCACTGCCCAGCCTCAGAATTACTGAAGTGTCTCAAAACTAAATCCCAGTGACAGATACTTCACGTACTACTCAGCCAAAGACCATTTACTGCCTAAAGAAATTATAAAAACATCAAGTTAACTAAAAATATCCATTTGCCTAATTTCTTAAGAACATCGGTAGCTTGCAACCTGCTTTCAGACTACAAAAACTTAGATGATCAAGTCTCAAATCTACATGTTCCTGTTAGTTGAACAGCCTGGGACAACTTCTTACTCTCCTTTTCCTCACTGCTTCCTTAAACTGTTTAAACTGTTCCTTAAAATTGTTTTAAGGAGGTTTTTCTAGTAGGCCTTTTCCCTTTGTGCTAGCCTGCTCACATCTCTAATCTAAAATGCTCTGGAAATGTTTGGCATTCCTTACAAATTCTAAAGTTCCTCTCTGCCCCTGGAACTTTTGGAGAAAGGTTCCTCAGTTTATAGTGTTTTGCTAAATAAACTCACCACAATTTTTAGAAGCCCTTTGTTGTTGTTGTTCAAAGAAGTGATTACATTATAGGAAGTAATCTGCTTCTTAGACCAAACACCTAAGAAAGTTCACAAATCTTAAGTTTCCACGAGTGAATTATAATCATGATTTCACCAAAAAAAGAAATTAAAGTGGAACCCCTTCATGTACTAAATGGGCCAGTTAGCCTAAACATTAGTGCATGTTTTTCCAAAACCGAAGTGTCAATCTCATCTACGGAATTTCAGATGTTTACTGACCACTGATATATTTACGGCAATAAAATTAGGAAAAGAATGTAAAATTCTAACTTGTATGAGTTTTAATGCACATAACAAATACAGCTTAGATTCTATTGCTCTAAATTTGATTTTTCGTCATTTAAAATTCCAAATACACCAAACTGATAGCTGTCATTTTAAAACAATGATTCATGGACAAACTCAGAGCCTTCAATTTTGCACAAACTTAACAGCCACTTGGTTTTTCTAGGGATTTTAGAAATTGCTGATAGTAAACTGGCTCTAGAATCATAACAAAAATTCACGAACCACAAGTTAAACAAAAAAAGATATTCAGAAAAATGAGAGTAAAAGTTGATTACGATATTCACCAAGGGGCCAGCGTGTGGCTCACACTTACAATCCCAGCACTCTGGGAGGCTGAGGCAGTAAGGTTACTTGAGTCCAGGAGTTCAAGACCACCCTGGGCAACAGAGTGAGACCCCATCTCTACAAAAATGCAAAAATTAGCTGGGTGTGGTGGCGTGTGCCTGTAGTCCCAGCTACTCAGGAGGCTGAGGCAGGAGAATTGCTTCAGCTCAGGAGGCAGCGGTTGCAGAGTCAAGATTGTGCCACTGCACTCCAGTCTGGGCGACAAAGACCCTGTCTCAAAAAAAAAAAAAAAAAGGGGGGGGGGGAATACCCATGTGGGCTCCATGGGTACTGACATAGCCCCATATCCCTCAATTTCCCTCATTGGTTTTATTTTTCCCCATGGCACTTACGGAGGAAAAATTAATGCTGTGCATTTGTGTCTCTTCCATAGGGCAGGGAGATTTTGGTCTTTTTTACTCACCAATATATCTCCAGTGCTTAGCAGATCTATTGAATCCACTATTTAGGAAAAGCCACATTTCAGCGTTCTGGTGGGTGACATGACATTTAATTGTCCTAATATACAAGTTCTGATGAAAACTTCAGGCTAAGAGTTACAGCTAAAATTATCTGTGGATTTCTATTATCCACCTACATTGAATTTCCCTTAGTAGCCCAAGGGCTCCTCCCCTCTCCCTCCCTCGTCCCTTCAGCTTAATTGTAGATTATGGTCTGTACTGTTTCTATCTCTTGACCTTCCTTCGGTTCCACAGGTGGACTACCCCTCCTTCAGAATGGCTTCCCTCGGCTTCTGCAGTGAGCTGTTGTTCCTCCTTCCTCGTAGGGCCCTCCACCTGCATGCCTCTTCTCGCCTACTCCCATGGCTTCAATCCCCACATGACGAAAGCTCCCGGAGCTGTGATCCTTGCCCTAATTCCTGTTCTCTACCTAGTGGTCTTCTAGGGCGCTCCACTTGAGCGTCCCAAGGCCTTTCAAATACAACATTTCTAAGACCAACCATTTCCTCCTTAATTAAACTCTCCCTTCCCTCATGTATCTTCTCAGTGAAAGAGCCATCAACCATCACTCAGCTCAACACCTACGTCTACCACCTAGTCACCAGTCAAGGCAATTCATAAAATCAGACCAGAAAAAACAAACAAATAACAACACCTGAAGTTCAAGAGGTTTACTGTACAATAGGCAGGGAGAAATGTATCGTACACTTGAAAACAATACCATGTTGTACACCATAAGCACGTAATTTTTGTCACATCAGAAATACAATTTTTAAGCAAAATATAAGTAATTAATAACAAAACAGAAGACCTAATCTCTAGCTTGGATCTGAGATATGCTTCCTCTGTACCTACTTCCTTTCTTGGCAGTGCAACCCGTTAACCTGAATTCTACACGAAAGAGCTTTTACAACGTCAGGAAATGAAGCTCCTCTCATGCATCTGAAGCGTGCAATGGAGCAGAGAGAGAGCACACACTTACGACATTAGCCATAGCATTCTGAAGTTCAAGACTACCCAGAACCACCTGAGAATCACTTTGATGTATGGTTATGTATCTCTGCCTCGAATCACACTGTATTAGTATATACAGTAATATATTTTAGGAAAATCGTGAATACTTTATCTTTGTAATATGAATTGTTTTCCCATTAACACATACCATCATTTATCAGACACACTGCGTGATTGGCTGTTGTAAACCTCTGACTGCCTCCCCACCACTGCCACCTACCTGGCTCCCTTCCTTACATGTTTTCAAACTTAATAAATTTTATAATCAAAACTTTGGCAATGTAATGAATATTTTTGTAATAACAATTTAATTTCATTGTTTCTCAAAGTGTGAGTGATATACCTTTCCTATCCTTTTTATTTGGAAATAAAAGGGAAATAAGCTTCATGTCCCTTAAGGAGAATGCTTAGGAATGGAAAGATTTCCGCTCCCGGGATGTCTGCGTTGTGCTCACTGGTGCGGCACCTCTAACCTGACCCTCTGAGATCCTCCAATGACGGTCTCCTTGGAGCATCACGTTGGTGCTCAAAAAGCTTCAGATCTTGGAGCACTTTGGATATTCAGATTAGAGACACCCAAAAATATAGTCTATTCTTGATGTTTTAAACATCACAAAATGTGGGGTAGGGTAGGTTTATTTCAAAGCTGCCACCCAGGATGTTCAAAGCGGCTTCTCCTGCCTAACACCAGATGTCCAGGCCACCAAGACCACACACTCTTGCGTCTAGAATGTATCTGAAGGGAGAGGATGTACTCGGGCAGAGTTCTTAGATGCAGAGTGATTGCTTAATAATCATCACCACATTATTTCAATTTAAGAGTTACAACTCATCTTTCACCTTTCTTGGCACAGGAATGAATCATGTTAATATACTATACTAGAAAGAAAGTCCACACCTAAAATGCTTCTAGTATAGTGAAAGGGCTCCTCCTACCCAGGCCTCGATCCCAGGGAGCAGACAAGACTCTCAGAAGATCCTTGCATTTTCCTTTCTTCCTCCAATCTGATGCCACTTCACCCACCTCTGTATTGCTTTGCTAGTTTTTCTTCTCCATATTGTCACTCAACTTGAATTTGTCTATATTTATCTTATTTTCTCCACTGGATAAGCTCTCTTTAAGGTCCAGACCTTACATTTCTTATTTTTTTTTTATCTCCCATGATCTACATTAAAGAATAAGCATTTTAAGAAAGGATTTGTTGATATCATTGCTCCCAGCGGAGGGAATGCTGTACAACTCAGAAATCAAATGAGTATTAAATAGCAAGAGCTATAAGGAGGTACTCACTTCGAATCCAACATTTCTGCGCTTTGCTTTCTTTATAGCTCTATTCTTCAAGACTTCCTCACTGGCCACGGAGAACGTTCCCACCTGCAAGACAATACAAATTCAACAGCAGTAAGATAAAGCCAAAAAGATGACAAAATACTCAACAAGAAGAAGCTAGAACTGAGCCACTGTGCCTGGCCTCTCAAAAAATAAATTTTGGCCAGGCACAGTGGCTCGGGCCTGTAATACTAGCACTTTGGGAGGCCACAGGTCAAGAGTTTGAGACCAGTCTGGTCAACATGGCGAAACTCTGTCACTACTAAAAATGAAAAATTAGCTGGACATGGTGGCGGGCACCTGTCATCCTAGCCACTTGGGAGGCTGAGGCAGGAGAATCACTTGAACCCGGGAGGCAGAGGCTGCAGTGAGCTGAGATAGCGCCACTGCACTCCAGCCTGGGCAACAGAGCAAGACTCTGTCTCAAAAAAATTAATTAATTTTGTTATTTATAACATACACACGATTTTTAAGATGAGTCCTGCCCAACGTACAAAGGCCACAGAGGCACCTAGGACCTCGCTGGAAAACTACTGCTCTTCCAGGTGTGCGCAAAGTGCACTCATGTCCACATATCTGATGTCCACATCAGAAATCTGCTGAATATATTCGGCTTTAGTTTATAACCTTTTTTTTACCCTGTAGGGTCGGAATAAAATATTTCCCATGAAAAAATGCTCACCTATAGTTGTTTCAGATCATATTAAACTTAATGGGATCCTACACTCATAGAGGGGACGTCTGGCTGCACTTGCCCCAAGTTAAATGGACTTAACTAAATGTAATCTTTCCACACATTTCATTAGCATATGTTCAAATGGGAGCTCTTTCATTCCTCAATATTTTAATGTCTAAGCAAATTGTTACATGGTAATCTAGATGTTACTATAGCCCAGAACGTAACTGCTTAAGATCTTAAACCAACAACAAAAAGCCAAAAACCCCCATAACCAAAGATTTTAGTTAAAAAGCACCAAGTTAGTTTTGACCCTGTCAAAACATTCACATCCTTGTGATTCATAAACATATGAGAGGCGATACACTTGCAGAGAAAAAAAAGTACTAGTACCAGAAAGATTCCGAAAGAAGGAAGATGACAGTCTAAGAATAAGCCTGGAAACACTTGCAAGTTTTTAAATTTTTCTTTTTTTTACTTAGCACTATGCTGTTAACCTGAAAGGCTAACTTGGTTACAGATTTCCTTAGTCATCTGGCCTGGGGGTAACACACTGCTGATAAGGTATTATTGGAGAGTCCAGCCCTGCAGTGCTTTGTGGGTGTTCTCCCTGAAGGGGAAAAAAAGAGATTTTAAGAAATAAAGACACAAAACAAAGAGATAAACAGCTAGGCCTGGAGGACCCTTACCACCAAGACACTAGACTGGTAGTAGCCCTGAAAGGCTGGGCGTGCTGATATTTACTGCATACAAGACAAGGGAGCAGGGTAACAAGGATGAGTCGTCCAGATTGATAAGGTCAAGCAAGTCACGTGATCATGTGACAGGGGGCCATTCCCTTTTAGGTAAAAGGGAGCCGAAGCAGAGAGGGAAGGCAGCATACGTCAGCGTTTTCTTCTATGCACTTGTAAGAAGGATCAAAGACTTTAAGACTTTCACTATTTCTTCTACTGCTATCTACTAAGAACTTCAAAGAGGAACCAGGAGTACGGGAGGAGCATGAAAGTGGACAAGGAGCGTGACCATTGAAGCATAGCACCACAGGCCTCTGGATGACTGTGAGCAGGCCTGGATAATATCCAGCCTCCCACAAGAAGCTGGTGGAACAGAGCATTCCCTGACTCCTCCAAGGAAAGGAGACCCCCTTTCGCGGTCTGCTAAGTAAAGGGTGCCTTCCCAGACACTGGCGTTACCACCTGACCAAGGAGCCCTCAAGTGGTCCTTATGTGGGCGTGACAGAGGGCTCACCTCTTGCTTTCTAGGTCACTTCTCACCATGTCCCTTCAGCACCTGACCCTATACCTGCCGGTTATTGCTTGGTCATATCAGTAGTACAACAAAGAGTAATACTAAAAGCTAATGATTAGTAATGTTTATACTAATGACTGATAATGTCCACGATCATCTCTATATCTCATTTGTATTATAATTATTCTAACTATTTTCTTTATTACACTGAAACAGTTTGTGCCTTCAGTCTCTTGCCTCTGCACCTGGGTAATCCTTCAACCACATCCTGTAAGTACAGCTGTGTTTTACTCTGTTTCTTAGACAGAGTCTCACCCTGCCGCCCAGGCTGGAGTGCAGTGGTGCAATCATAGGTCACAGCAACCTTCAACTGCTAGGCTCAAGCAACCCTCACGCCTCAGCTTTCCAAACTGCTCTGACTATAGGCTCAGGCCACCATGTTCAGCTAATTTAAAAAAATTTTTTTGGGTCAGGCGTGGTGGCTCACGCCTGTCATCCCAGCACTTTGGGAGGCCGAGGCAGGCGGATCACTTGAGGTCTGGAGTTTGAGACCAGTCTGGCCAACATGGTGAAACCTTGTCTCTACTAAAAATATAAAAATTAGCTGAGTGTGGTGGCGCACACCCATAATCCCAGCTACTTGGGAGGCTGAGGCAGGAGAATCACTTGAACCTGGGAGATAAAAATTGCAGTGAGCCGAGGTCATGCTACTGTGCTCCAGTCTGGGTGACAGAGTGAGACTGTCTTAAAAAAAAAAAAAAAAAAAAAAAAAAAAAATTTTTATAGAGACTGGGGTCTCTCTATGTTGCCCAGTCCTATTGTTTATGAGGGAAAAATGATCCGATTTCCTCAGGGTAGACCATTTTTATTTTGCTGGAAAAGGAACTAGGCCAATCTAAATTCTGTTCCTATAAATGCAATTGTTAGGGGTCTCAGATCTACCATTAAGAAGAGGAAATAAAGCAGGCCTCCAAGAAGCATTACGGAAAGGGAGTACCACAGACCGAGATGGTGATGGCATACTACTTTCACATCTGAGCAGTGTGCTAAGTTCATGACTAGATAACCTACCTCAGCCTTCAATCATGACTCAAATGGCTTACTGCAAACCATGGGTTTAGAATGCTTCAAGTATACGAAACTCAGGAGGAAACTGCTTCTACTAAGGAGAATATTTAAGGAGCAGGCACTAGTGGAAAAGCACATCTAAATGTAATTAATACATTTCTACACTAACTAGAGATCACAGAAATGTAATTAATAGCTACACTAAGTACAGGTCATGTGATTTCTTGTCATCTGCCATTCATGATGTTCTTAGAAAGGTCTTTTAGTTCTGTCACAAGTCTTCATGAGGAACCCCAAAATGAATTTAAAAGGTAGAAGAAACAGAAAATCATTCTTAGAGAAGCTACTTTTTACCTCTTCAGCTTCATCTTCTTGATCCCAATTCCTATCTGTCAGTTCCTTCTCAGCATTTCTTTTGGCCATGTTTTCGAACCTGTTATAGAAAACAGAAGCAAGGAGTTCATTTCTTTAAAAGAATAAATTCTTACAAAGAATTGTAAAAATTCACTCTAGCATGAAGTAAGATAAAAACATCTCTGATGCCACTGGAAACTGCTTTAATGAGAACTTCACAATGGTGCTGCTAGGCTCCCAGTGTTACAAATCAATAAAGGTTTTTTCCAGGAGGCAAAAGAAGATTCCTAGGGAACACCAGCACTCCTGAACAACACTAAACCAACTCCATTTGGAAAAATTAAAAAGAAATATCAATTGATTTTAAAAAATCTGGAATCTGAAGTACGTATATATGATCAAAAAGTCCTTAACTTATTCTATGCATATACTTAAAGTTTTGCCATAAGGAAAACAATTTTAATATTTAAAATTCTCTTAAAGATGATGCATTAAAGAAGTGTATCATTCAGTAAGAATACAAGTAATGGGTTGGAAATGCCTTCACAACACGAATATTGTTCTTCAGGCTGCAGCCGACAGAGATACATGGTTCCAAGACTGAACATTTCGTTGCCTCAAATTGTATATTGCCAAGACAATTAGAAGTTCAAAATGATTAACATGGATGTGTTTTCTGAGAACTTACAACCTTTCAAAAATAAATCATTGGCTTAACTCTTGAATACCATGGCATTAGTGGAAGAGGCAGAACTGGGGACAGCATGAACTCTGCGGTGGACTCCGGTGCCTATCCAAAAAGGGTGCTCCTGTCCCTCCCTTAAAATTTACAATTTGTTTTCTGATCCTAATATCATAACAACAACAAAACAAAAAAGTCCATAATCCAGAGCTCCACTCTGAGTGTTATGCTGGCTTCTTCACTAACTCTCCAGCTGGACAAACAAACCTCTCCATTTCCTCTACTACCCACCTCGCCCAGGAGCTTACTGATTAGTTTTGGGGACCTGCCAGGTCTTGTTAAACCTACCTGAACTCCTTCCTGATATTCTCCCCACTCTTGTTTGCCCGCAACACCACAACACACCAGAGTAAGCTTCCTAGAACTTTGTAGTCACTGAGATATAAGGTGATACATCACTCTTTAGTATCTAAAAGTAAAATGCAAACGCTGGCATTCCAAAGGCCTCTACAATTTGATGACCAGTTGAGTAATTACACAGGGGCTGTCAGCTTGTAATACATTTTAGTGATTTTTAAATTGTATAAGTATGTGCTATTTTTCTGATTACAAATGATATTAAAGTCCAAGATTCTAAAATAGAAAGTATGAGAATACACTTTCCATTCGCTGGGAACCCTCTCTTTTTAATGCCCGGCCAAAAATACTTGGTTAAGTTTTGTCATTAATCTTTGTCATACAAACAAAAACAAATACAGGAATACACATAATTCTTTACGGTTCAGAAACCAGGTCTCTATACGGATTATTATTATTATTATTATTATTTTTTGAAACGGAGTCTCGCTCTGCAGCCCAGGCTGGAGTGCAGTGGCCGGATCTCAGCTCACTGCAAGTTCCGCCTCTCCGGTTTACGCCATTCTCTTGCCTCAGCCTCCCGAGTAGCTGGGACTACAGGCACCCCACCACGCGCGGCTAGTTTTTTGTATTTTTTAGTAGAGATGGGGTTTCACCGTGTTAGCCAGGATGGTCTCGATCTCCTGACCTCATGATCCGCCCGTCTCGGCCTCCCAAAGTGCTGGGATTACAGGCTTGAGCCACTGCGCCCGGCCCTCTATACAGATTCTTTTGGCAATTTTTCTACTCATTAACTAACATCTCCGCCAGAGGGTCGGAGAAGTAAGAAGTTGCCAATGGTCACATATGCTATTTAAGATTAATTGTAGGGCCGGCGCAGTGCCTCACACCTGTAATCCCAGCACTTTGGGAGGCCAAGGCGGACAGATCACTTGAGGTCAGGAGTTTGAGATCAGCCTGGCCAACATGGTGAAACCCCACCTCTACTAAAAATACAAAAATTAGCTGGATGTGGTGGTGGCACCTATAATCCCAGCTACTCGGGAGGCTGATGCAGGAGAATCTCTTGAACCCAGGAGGCGGAGGTTGCAGTGAGCTGAGATCGCGCCAATGCACTCCAGCCTGTGTGACAGAGCAAGACTCCGTCTCAAAACAAAACAAAAAAAAAAAAAAAGAAAAAAGAAAATTAACTGTGGAGAAAAAAGGGATGGAGCTGAATGCACAAAAACTGTAACAGTAAAATTTTACCTTCTAACTCATACCCACAATGAAGAGACAGGTGGCACAGCAAAATAGTCTAAATAAATGTAGGGGCTTCCACGTCCTAACACACTCACCAAATCAGTATATAACCAAAAGGCAGGGATCTTTGTTTTGTTTACAGATATACTCCAAATGTCCCAACAGCGCCCAGCTCAAACAGCAGGTGTCCTGTCTATCATTAGATCAATGAGCTGGGGTACTGCATAAAGTATTTCAAAAAATACTGAAAGATCTGGCATCCCAGTTTTGCCATTTTCTAGCTGTGAGAACTTGGGCAAGTTATATTTAATTTTTGTGCCTCAGTTTCTTCATCTGTGGAACAGGAAGTATTAAGAAAGTTAAGATAAACAAAGATTGGCTTAGAACACTGCCTGGAGCAGAGGACGGGCTTAATAAATTATTAAACAAACAAGTGTTATTAGAAGCAAAGGCTATAAACTACCATTTTCCCTCCAAAACGTAAAAGTTGTAGCATGGAAGAATAACTTGGATTACAAACCAGACTTTTAAAAATATTTTACCAAATCCCTGTTTTATTTCAAAGCATGACACTTCAGACAATACATTTTACTTCTATGCTAGAAGTGGGGGGCGGGGGGGAAACCCTCTGTAAAATATTCTGAACAAGGCCTGGCACCTGGCCTTATGTCTAGCTACTATTACGAAGAACTTAAGGGAGGCGGAAGAATCACTTGAAGCCAGGAGTTGGAAACCAACTTGGTCGCTACAAAAATAAAGATGGACATAGATTAGATGAATAAATAGAAATAAAAAATTAGCCGGGCGTAGTGGCGCACACCTGTGGTCCCAGCTACCTGGAAGGCTGAGGCAGAAGAATCACTTGAGCCCAGGAGCTTGAGGCTACAGTGAGCTACAACTACACTCCGGCCTGGTGACAAAGCAAGACCCAGTCTCAACCAAACAATCAATAAAAGGGAATTTAAAAAGCGTCTGCGCTTGTGGGTAAAAAACCACCACATTTGACATGATTTCTAGGTATGAAGCAACGTGGTAGGAGACTGAAAGTCTAGGCAAACTGGAAAAAAACATTATTTGTGCCTGATATAGTTATGTGGTCTCTGGCATCTGGTGTAGCTCTGCCCTTGGAGCTCAACTTGTCAACATCAGCTTAAAACGAAAACACAGATTTGGTTATACTTAATAGTGAGGTGCCTTGTTGAAGGGAGAGAACAAGGGGGCCAACTAAGGAGACAGAAATACCGAATCTCCAAACTGTTCCTTAATGGAACCGAGCAAATGGGTGATCAATGACCCGGGAACGCAGTAAGAAAGTGAAGCTAGGCCAGAGAGGTAATGCGCCCAGGAGAAAAGCGACGAGGGGCGGCCAGAGGGAGAGGAGAATCGAGAGGAATCGCTAGGAAGGAAACGGAGACTACCACGCCAAGACAGCCCTGCCAGCCCCCTACCTCCGCCGGGGCCGCAGGGGCGAGCCTCACTCGAGTCGGACGCCGCAGCCTGGCGAGGCCCAGGGCCCGCTTCACAAACAGCCCACGCTGCGTCGCCGCTGTCATCCCACCCCACCCTCCACCCGTCGCTGCCCACCCGCGCGCCCCGCCCGGCACGCGCGCCCGACCCAGGATCCCTCCCTAGGGTCCCGGCCCCTAGCCCTGTACCCCACTCCCCAGTGTCCCGTCCTCCAGCCCCTCCCCAGGGTCTGGTCCCCTGGCCCCGCACCCCTCCCCAGGGGCCCGTCCCCCGGCCCTGAACCCTCACCCCTCTCCCCAGGGTCCAGTCCCCAGCCCTGCACTAGCACTCCCCTCCCAGGCCCCAGCCCGCTCAGCACCAGGCTCCCGCCCTCAGCCCCTTCCCCTCCTGCGCCGGCCGCCGCCCCTCACCTCCTTGGCGGCTGCCGCAGCACTCGCTAGGTCTTGGGTGCGGCGAAACCCGGGGCGCGGCGGCGCTGGGGTCTGGAGCGTGCTGGTGGTCGTCTGGCTGAGCGCGCTCGGCCGCTTCCGGTGCTGCCCTGCGGGCCTCAGAGAACTTGGTGCTCAGCAAGCCCAGAGACTCAAACACCATGTCCCCGGGGGGGGCTCCTCACGCTGTGTTCGGCAGGGAGGCGAGAGAGCCGGTTCAGCCCGAGACTGCCGTGGTAACCGCGCCGAACACGCTCCGGGCGGCCATTTTGTAACTCGAATCTACCCCCAAAACCAATTCGAAAAAAAGGGAGGAAAGAAACGCCCGCGTTCAGCTACTGCGCAAGCGCGCCGAGGCCTCCGGTAGCAGCGCCTCCTTCCGCCGGCCGGGCCCCTCACGCGGCGCATGCGCCCAGCTCCCTAGAAACCGGCGCCGGGCTGTGCGTGCCCGTCTCGCGCAAGCGCGCACGCGCCGACCTTAATCGCTGAGCCGGCACCCGCAGCGGCGGCTTGGGGTGTTCGGCTCACGTGGGGCTGGCTGCGCGTCTTCCAGGCTGTTCTCGCGCTAGTCGCTGCTAAGGGGCCGGCCATGCGCGAGGAGCTGCGGCGAGGAAGGTCGGTCAGTGGACATGGCCGAGGCTCGCGGTGTCCGCGTGTGGGAGCTGCAGGGCTGAGGAGAGGCCGCCCGCGACCCTCGGGAATCCTGTGAGGTGCCAGTGGGATCGCTTCACGTCCGGAAGCCCCGCCCCGGGGGACGCGCCCAGGTGGCCCTGCTGGCCGTACCTGGCCGGGGTGGCCTGGAGCGGCTGGGTCTCGGCGCCAGGAGGGGACGTGTGGACCGCCTGTTAAAGGACCCCTCGTTCGCTGACATTTGATTTTGCGTCGCGTGCCTTCTCTTCTGTTTTTTCCAGCCCCTGAGATTCCTTAGTGCGTCCTGGGCACTGAGCTTTTTCACCGAGGCTGGACTGAAGTGGCGCGATCTTGGCTCACTGCAACCTCCGTCCCCTGGGTTCAAGCGATTCTCCTGCCTCAGCCTCCCGAGTAGTTGGGATTACAGGTGCCACCACCGCGGCCCGAACCCGTGTGGAATGTTCCACTTTGACCAGTGTCTGCGAAATGGCGGGGGGCTTAGAAAATGGTGCAGTTTGGACTAACAGATACGGCGACATCAAAATGTTTCCTGGGTCTGTTAAGTCCTGGGTTTGTTAACATTATTAATCTGTTCCTGTAACCCGAAACATCTTGTGATTACTAAGAAAGCAGCCAACAGGTCTCTGCCTTATTTTACCCAGCGCCTCTTCAGGATGGAATTGCTCCGGTTCCAATGCCTCGGACAGCCTTGCTGCTTGAGCTCTAGGTTGTGACCGTGTCAGGGATAGAGGCAGCTTAGGTGGAGGTAGACTTTCTTGTATTCGACATTGAACTGTGGCTTATTAAAAGCAGAACTTTTATTCTTGCAGTAGTACAGTATTATAAGGGTAAGCAAAATAATGAACACATTTCATTCTTAATTACACATTGTAGCACGAAATAACTGATGCCTTTCTAATGCAAATAAAAGAGATTTATGTCTATAATAGCACTGTAGCTGACTTGCGCCTTTCCGGATGGATTTCACTGCTGACTAAAATGACAACTTTAAACTGGCTATAACTCAGGAGAATGGAGGCACTTTGCACGCAGACATCTACCTCCATTGAATTTGGTTACTTCCTTTTAATGAAGCTCAAGTCTCATGTTATGAAATACTGCTCCAAAGGTGTTAACCACTTTTTTCCTATACTCTGCCTTTCAAAAATCCCTTTCAATTTGCTTAACCCCTGAGAGCCAAAGGACTTTGATGGTTGTTAGGTTGGGTCATTGTCATCGTGTTCAGTAAATATCCAGACATGTCAGTTTACCTACTTGACCTAATTCCAAATGAGTCCATGGTGATGTGATCCTGCCTTTCTGCTGTTAGAGGTCTATGCCAGGAGCCAGCTTTGTCTCAGTTTTGCCACAGTGATCAAGTCATAAATGTCTCAGATCATTCAAGTCCAGTTTAACCTAGTAAAGAAAATTGCAAGATAATATTGCTGTATTCTAGCTGTGTTCTGGCCTTCATTTTAGGTAGGCTTAAACCTTGACCTGGAGTCATTCCTGTTACGATTTACCAGACAACACCCAACAGGAAGCTTACAGAACTACACTTTGCTCCTAATGATAAGGAAGGAAAACAGGAAATGTTCTGTTTTCTGCCTGGCAGTGGGGCTTTGGAGTTAATCTCCTGGCCATATCACTTCCCAGCTTGACAGCCTTGGACAAACTGAACTCTGAGCTCAGTTTCTTCATCTGTAAAGTGAGGGTATATTATGTACTTTCATTTGGTTGTAGAGATTAAATGTGAACACTTAGGTAAAGCACACAGTATGGGCTGAGTAAATGGACTGTTAAATAAGATAGTATCAGTTGTTTTTAAGTTTCTTGGAGCTTTCCTAAACACCTCAAAAGATTTTCATTTTTTTCTAAAGCTAATATTTTTCTAATTCTTGTTTTAAAATATTTTACAGTAAAATTTTTAGCCAGGCGTAGTGGCTCACACCTGTAATCCCAACACTTGGGGAGACCAAGGCAGGAGGATTGCTTGAGCCCAGGAGTTGGGAGACCAGCCTGAGCAACATAATGAGACCTCGTCTTGTCAAAAAACTATGGAAAATTTTTGAAAAACAGGCCAGGCACGGTGGCTCACGCCTGTAATCCCAGCACTTTGGGAGGCCAACATGGTCAGATTGCTTGACCCCAGGAGTTTGAGACCAGCCTTGGCAACGTGGCAAAACCCCATCTCTGCAAAAACTATAAAAATTAGCTGGGCATGGTGGCATGTGGTAGTTCCAGCTACTTGGGAGGGCTGACGTGGGAGAATTGCTTAACCCCGAGAGGTCGAGGCTGTAGTGAGCTGTGATTGCACCACTGCACTCCAGCCTGGGTGACAGAGCAAGACCTTGTCTCAACATAAATAAAATATTTGTGAAATGGTAATTCAGTTCCATTATTTTTTCTTTACTGATCAGAAATATAACTTTCACCCCCACTGAGGCTTAAAGGAACAAAAACAAAAAGTGTAGCTGACATTCAGAGGTTTCGGCTTCCAGACCGACACTAATATTGAACTGAGTTCCTGTAATTCTGGCTAAAAGCAAAGAGCTGTGTTTTAGCCAGAGCAGTTTTATTATGCGTTAGATTTATGATTTCCAGTAGGCTTTTGGGAATGTTGCCCAGAGGTCAGGGACTCCCTGTGCCCATTCATAGATTCTAGACTGAATCTCTTTCAATATGAACACATTTGGCTCTGCAACAAAGACTTCTTAAACTGGGATTCAACTGGATTGCCTTGAGGCTTTGGGCAGAGCACATGACTTATTTTGTCCTAGAAATTCCAATCTACTGGACGCTCAGAAACTTTCACAACTTGTATTTTTCATATTTTTTCATATTTTAGGCTTCAGTGCAGAAAGATTAAAACTAATGGCTAAGTTTTCTAATGCTGTTATTTTTCTTGAGGCTTTATGGACACCAAAAAAGTAACAATATGTAGTATGTAAAAAAAAGATACTGTGAATTGTAAAAGCCTATCTTTTTTCTGAGAACAAAATTAGCCAATTAAGTAATAAAACCATCAAGAGACGTCACCAGCTAATGACGATAGAGGTAAAAATTGCTCTGCATTCCGAGGAGGGAGGAATCAGTGCAAGCAGAACTGATTAATCATTCACATGTTGGAGCTGAATGACCTCCTAGGATGGATGGGTTTTATGGAGGTGGAGAGGTGGGGGAGGGTGCTGATGAAATCACTGGGAAAGCTCCTTTTTCCTACCATTTTTCTTCAGTCCCTTTATAGCCACAACTGCTTAAAGAAACCAGATGGCCCCTGGATGGTGCCAGAGCTTCTTGACCCCTTATCAGATACCACAGGAAGATAAGACTGCAGAGTGGAACAGGATAGGCAACCCCTAGTTGGCTTCAGATCATTATCATTATCCCCTCCCCTAAAATAAAGTCTCCACCGTTTTGTGTACATGTGATGTATGAAGATGTATGTTTATGAATCGTGCGTGGACATTTAGAGTCTCACTTTGCACATGCTAACATTCCTCTCCTGTCCCACACCTAGTCCTAAAAACTCCATGCCTTCTAGTGTTTGGGGAGAAGGGGCATTTAGAGTGAGAGCTCCTTCCCTGGCCAGCGACTAAAACCTGGTTACTGCTTACGGTTGGATGTCCTCTGTTTAAATCGATACAAAGTGGGGAAAGAGCTGAGTTTACCAGTGGCGACTGGAAGACCCTCTCTTTGAGACTTGATCACGAGGTCAGGAGATCAAGACCATCCTGGCTAACACGGTGAAACCCCGTCTCTACTAAAAAATACAAAAAAATAGTCGGGCGAGGTGGCGGGCGCCTGTAGTCCCAGCTACACGGGAGGCTGAGGCAGGAGAATGGCGTGAACCCGGGAGGCGGAGCTTGCAGTGAGCTGAGATCCGGCCACTGCACTCCCGCCCGGGCGACAGAGCGAGACTCCATCTCAAAAAAAAAAAAAAAAAGAGACTTGTATCAAACCAGGCCTCAGTCTGCCTGGACCTGCTCTGTCATTGCTTTCACTATGTTGACCTGCTTGCTGTTTTACCCTTTGTGTCTGGCCCTCCGTTATACTTAGCCTTCTTTCCTCCTGCCCATCCCCACCCTCTTTCACATACTTTTTCTCCAGTTTTGTGACTTTAGCAGACCTTTTTGGCTGGCCCCCAGCACATCCTACGGCCTGGCAGCAGGCGGTTTCTGCCTGGAGGGCTGAGCCATCGAAAGATTTCAAGATGTATATTTTGTAAGGCAAAGCCTGTACTCATAGACTGTGAAGGACCTGGTTGGGGAAATGAGAAAAAACGGATGGGAAAAAAGTAGTCAGCAATTTTACTGTGTGAGATATTAGTGGGCGAGATAACGCGAAGCAGTGCTTGATTAAATGCCAAATGAAGTTCCAGTGGTAGCTGAGAGAAGCGAGGGGAGAGATCATTTCAGACTGGGGCCTGTGTTAGTCTGCTCGCGCTGTTGTAGCAATGTAGCACAGACTGAGTGGTTTAAACTAAAGATTGATTTCCTTACCGTCCTGCAGTCTGGATATCCAAGATCAAGGTGTCAGCAGGGTTGGTTTCTTCTGAGGACTCTCCTCAACTTGTAGATAGTCACTTTCTCCCTGTGTCTTCATGGTCTTCCCTCTCTATTTTGTCTGTGTCTCTAATCCCTTATACGAACACCAGTCAGGCTGGGCACGGTGGCTCACACCTGTAATCCCAGCACTTCGGGAGGCTGAGACAGGAGGATCACTTGAGGTCAAGAGTTTGAGACCAGCCGGACCAATATGGTAAAACCCCGTCTCCACTAAAAATACAAAAATTAGCCAGGAGTGGTAGCTCGCACCTGTGGTCCCAGCTACTTGGGAGGCTAAGGCAGGAGAATGGCTTGAACCTGGGGAGGGTGAGGTTGCAGTGAGCTGAGATCACACCTCTGCACTGCAGCCTGGACAACAAGCAAGACCCCATCTCAAAAACAAATAAGGCTGGGTGCAGTGGCTCACGCCTGTAATCCCAACACTGGGAGGCTGAGGTGGGCAGATCACTTGAGGTTAGGAGTTCGAGGCCAGCCTGGCCAACACAGTGAAACTCCATCTCTACTAAAAATACAAAAATTAGCTGGGCATGGTGGTGCACGTCTGTAGTCCCAGCTATTTGGAAGGCTGAGGCAGGAGAATCGCTTGAACCCAGGAGGCAGAGGTTCCGGTGAGCAGAGATTGTGCCATTGCATTCCAGTCTGGGTGACAAGAGCAAAACTCCTTCTCAAAGACAAACAAAAAACACCAATTTCTGGATTTCTAACTGCCTCATTTTAATTTAGTTACTTCCGAGGCCCTTTCTCCAAATATAGTCACATTTTGAGGTACTGGGGGTTAGGGCTTCAACATAAGAATTCGAGGGAAACAAATCTGAGCCCACAGCAGGGTAATAGGAAGAGCTTTACCAAGTAAAAGCTGGGATTGGAAATACCCCATTTCTGTGGTTAAAAAATGTACCTTTGACATTTCTGAAATCAGTATATTTCTGACATTCAGGGTACAGTTTAAAAAGGCATACTGTCCTGGTTTTACCATTAATGGCTGAAAGGATGGACAGTACAGACTTTCACTGGGAAAGAGTGTTAGATGCATCGGCTTCTTGGGGCAGGGGCAAGAGTTTTCTCTAAGTTGTCTATCCGAATTGAATCTGCCTTGCCTGAGCCGCTCCTTTCAGACTTTCTTCCCTCTCCCCAGCCATCAGTGACTTTCAGTCTTCATCCCCAAGTCCTCTTTCTTCCTCTGCCTCAGAACCTAGTTAATTGCTTCTATTCAGGGAAATCAGAGAACAAGAGTCTGGGACTGGGATTCCTTCTCAGAGAATGCAGGAGTAGAAGGCAAACACATCTGACCTCTTGCTTATGTCACAGAAGAGTACAGGATGCTATGTACTGAATTGTTTCCCCTATGAATTCATATGTTGAAGCTCTAACTCCCAATGTG